ATAGTTGCATAGCAAACATTCAAATATATTTACAAACTTTCAATTTACCGTGTAATTTCTATGCCGCAAATCTAAAATAATTTTCCAAATTGATTTATAACTGACGGAGTTATGAGGTTACAAACATAAAACAAAATACAATCGAATTCAGTACCACATCCTTTTTTAAGTAGATTGAATACAAGTATGAAAGATTGAACTCCTATACATGTTACCTGTATTATTAGTTTTAGTTATAAACCAACTAACTTATACATAACTAAGATAGGTTCCACTAAAAAACCGAATTCATTGGTGGCAAAAGTTATTTTAATTCAAAAACTAAACTACGGAATCAATTTTCATAAAATTTCCATGAATCCGTAAATATACCCTTTCAGATAAAAATAGAATTTTCAAAATTGATGTGCAACTGATATAGTTATGAGGCACCAAATAGATATAAAAAGTGCAAGCTAATTGAGATGCTCCTTTTTGAAGTTGGTTGAAAATAATAAAAGATACACTCATATGTTTAAATATAGCGGATATGTAGATAGCGGACCTGATTTGAGGGTACCGGGATAATACTTGTGGGAAAATTACAATGTATTATCATACTAAACAATTGTAATTGTTTTTATTACGTGCTACGTACCTAAAAGTTATGTAGCGATTAAAATTTCATAATTATAACGTATTTATGCAATTATAAAAAAAAAACGCTTTGACTTCTTGTAGGTTTTCGGTCAACTTCCCAAAGACGGAGTTCTCAAACCATTGTATGGTCATGAGAATCCCAGCGTGTATCCGTATCGCCATTCATAACTTTGAATTGCGTAATGCTGAACATAGAAAAAGGTTTCGTAACGAACATTTTAAATAATTTAAACAAAATGTCAGTTTGTCCTTCACTCAATACGTCGGACCGTAGCTTTACCGGCTACAATATTCGGATATTGCAATAACTCTTTGTGGTAAGGAGAAATAACAATTTGTACCTACATTCACTGGAAACGTAATAAGAGGCGAATAAGAGATAAATTGTCGTAAAGAATACAATAATGCAATTTAACTATAATAAACGCAATACCAGCTTAACAATGTATTAGGAATTTGTTACATTATTAAAAAAATACAGAAGTGTTCAATAACGACGTAACTAGCATAGAAAATAACAGAAAATTTTGTTAACCGTATTATAAAATAACAATACTATATAGCATAAACAGCTCATAAACTTATGCTAATTGCGAACTAATCTATACTTATAATAAATCTGTAAAGAAGTCAATTCTGTACATGAAATATATTTCCAAAATAACTATCAGGGGTGATTAGTGATCGATACTGATGCCAAAAATGCAATCAGTAATATTTTTGTCTGTCTATCTGTATGTTCGTTATAGAAACAAAAACTACTCGACGGATTTTAACGAAACTTGATACAATTATTCTTCATACACCTGGGCAGGTTGTAGTATACTTTTCATCACGCTAAGATCAATAGGAGTAGAGTAGTGAAGGGGAATGTTGGGAAAACGGGAGAAGTTACTCCATTAAGCTTCCGTCGCGTGTGCAGCCTTAATGGCCACATTTTAAAATGTAAAAATATCCACCCGTGCGAAGCCGGGACGAGCCGCTGGTAGTAAATAATAACTTAAAAATCATAATCAACGCACGTCTTAAAAAGATAATAAATCACAACACTGTTACTTATTATTAGGTTACCATCTCCATCATCATAGCCCTTAATTCCACTGCTGGACAGAGGCCTCCCCCTATTAGGGGGTTTCGCTGTTTTTTTAATGGATGATAATAGAATGATAACCCCGCCTGCGCTATCGATATACGCTGGCGGGGCATCGGTGAGGGATGATTAGGTGGCGATGAAATCAGGTCAGTTAGCCCATCGTGACGAATTCCACTAGCATTAATCACGGTGGTTTTCAGGGAGAACCGCGTAGAGGTTCACCCGATAAGCAATGGGACAGTTAGATTTTTTACTAAGAATCCCTTTCCCCCGGGGCTTCGCTATTAGCTGCCATACTTCGGTAATGTTTAAAGAGGGACGCTGCTGCCTATCCCTCGATCATTAAGTTCCCTTAACCGTCTCTAATGTTACACACGTTAAAGGAATGAATAGCCCATTTTATGCCAGGCCACGCGGCGTTATTAATAAAGTATACAAGTAAAAAATTTCGCATCTTCGTCTAATAAACGTTTCCTGTTACTTATATAAAGTAAGATTGTCTTCCAAAATACCAACTTCACTTGTGGCAAAATCACTTATTTTGATTTAAAAATTAATCTACTATATAGTATTTGATGGAATTTCTATGGGACTATGTATATCCTTTCAGATAAAAAATATTTTTTAAAATGATAACTAACGGAGTTTTTTTTTTCCAATTTTGAATGAGATAAAAAATATACAATCATAAATGAGAATCTCTTTTGTTTTTTGCAGTCGATAAAAAATTACCAGAGCTTTAATAGATTTTATGTGTTTCTCTGGAAAAGCGAACACTCATCGCATTACACGATTTCCATAACCTCGAAGTCATTATGTTCTAAATACCGTACAGAACTTCCACGTAACGAAGACATCAATTATGTAAGAAATTTTTTTTACAAATTCCATACGTTTGTAGGAAATGATATTGCTGACAAAACCGCAGATGTCAGCTACTACTGTAGGTAAACACGTCATATTTTAGATACGGTACAAACCGAGTAGACTGCGTACAAATTGCAAATGGCAGCTGTCGTGTACAATGATCTGTTATTATTAATATTTCCGCGTTGAGGTTACCTCTTTCACTGGTAAAAGATGGTTTTATAAAGAGTTAGAATTCTTAGAATTCTCACGTCACTAATGATCAAGTCAATCTCCATAATTATATCAGCGCTTAACTGTCCATTGCTGTACATAAGCCTTCACTCATAAGAGGAGTTTTGCTGAACATAAGACATCCCCCCCTATCAGGGGAGATTTTGCCAGTAGTTGCCACGCTTGTCAGGCAGGTTAACAACTGCAGTTAGATTTTTAGTGATATTTTAAAGAGGACGCTGTTGTCCATCCCTTTACCCTTCCTCTCCCCTTAGTTGGCTCTTACGACACCCACGAGAAAACAAGGAATCAAGTCAATAATGGTTACAAACTAAATAGAGATGCGAAAGTATAAAGTAATAATCTAGATGAATGCTGTTGCTGTCATTTTTCATAAATTTAAGATTAGCATACTGGCAAATGGCATTGACAGGCACGCACTTAATCTTTGAGCTTTATTTTTAAAAATATTATAGACAGTGATCTGCAGTCCCATCCTCTGATGGCCTTTCATTATCATATATCTTAGATTTATGTAGTATCTCTATGTTACATAAATCTAAGATACATATGATGTGCTATACATAGATTTTTATGTAGATGTGCTATACATAGATTTAGGATAATATCCTGATGCTGTATATATAGCAATTTGTCTGAGTTATAAATATAACAATATAGTATGTTATCTAACGAATCCATCATCATTATTATATCAGCCATTATCTGTTCTAGTCTCCTTCATAAACTGCCATAAGGAATGATCCTGAGGTTCTCCACTGGCCAAAAAGCTGGCCTTTTCACTTAAAATATCACTATTAAATTACTGTCGTCAATGTAAACACATTCACATAGTTTTAGTGATAAGAAAATCATTAAAATCAGTCAGTATACACATTGATACATACACGCAAATAATCTAAGAAAAATATTCTCCAAAAGTCTTATGAAAGGAAGCATTCTACTTGTATTAAGAAAAGTGACACAAATCAGCGGCATTAGCAAATTTTTCTCTTAAAAATTCAACAGTCTCCACACTAAAACTAAACTATGTAATAACAAACGTACTCATAGTCATTGTTTGAAACATTTCGCTCTACTATTATGGACAATTTACCACATTATGCGCGTATACGCATATATTAAGTTATTACCTAACTGTGGCAAGCGTGACCACGAATTTGCGTTCCATTTCACCACCGCAAAGTACTCTGTTCGGACGATTGGATCTAACCAAGCAATGTGGGATGCATGTTGCGATATAGTTTTATGGATTATGCAATATTAATGCCTTTATAGACAACGGTCTGGTTAATAGATTTCTTTTTACAAAATTAACGCCAAAGACAAATATTTAGCAATAGAATTAAAGTCACCAAATATCTTTCAGGGTATCATACCATAACAACCTATAACAGCAATATTAGACACGGGTCTCCTCCCATAAGATAAGGAAAAAGAATATTTTAGCATTTGATATAGAGTCTTATTTTGACTCTATTTTCTCTTACATAATCAACGAAATTTTAAAGATGGATATATGGAAAAATTGATGAATGTTTGTTACTTATACAAAAACTATTCAACGGATTTAAATTCGGATGAAATTAATTTAGCACTTAGGATATTTTCTATACTGATTCACGCAGGCGAAACCGCGATATACAGCTAATTAATTATAGTATATTGTGCACTCTTTTTATTACCTCTTACAGTCTGGGAAATAAAAATAAATACCAGAGGGAGACTTTGTACAAAAGTCGATTGCTTGGGTACCTCTGTCCCATTCGTGTTACAACCGTAAAGTAGTTGTGTTTGCATGGCTGTGTTTCGGTTTGAAGGGTGGGGTATGGCGTGAATTTACTGGGTACAAAGGAATAACACCTGAGTCCTCAGGAATGGCAACGCATGGGGTGTATCATGGGCCATTCCATCAGGTGGGCCGTCAGCTTGTGTGCCATTCTATGTTGTATAAAAAATGAGCGATAACTCTTATTTCATCAATGTTAGAAAATAAACAATTTATTTTTGTTATTCATGATTTTTATGTTCAAATTATTGTCACTTATTTCTTGGTACGGAGAGCGCGTAATGCCACACCCTACATGCCTTCACACCATTCGCAGTAGCAATAGCAACTGAAACTCTAAATAACCTGCCTAACTGAATATATTTTTTTTCCTTGCAGTGGAACGACGATGCGGTAACCCCGCGGTCCCACCGAATGCTCGAGTATCGCTGCCCACAGGAGACATCGTCCCTGGCACAGTGGCTAAGTACGAGTGTGATGATGGATACGAACTGTTCGGAGCTCATCAGAGAGAGTGTACGTTGAGAGGCGAATGGACGACGGAGCCGCCGTTTTGTGGTTAGTACGTTTTTATTATATAAAATGTGTAATCAAGCGTCCCGGTAAGCGATCTGAGACCAGCTTGCAACATAATAGGAATTACTTATGCGATACTAGTAATGTAGAAATCTTCAGTCGATCACAGCATCCATATTGTATCCTTCAAAGTGAAACACGAAATTAAAGATGTCTTCTAAAAATGAAATTTGACGTCGGTTACTCAAAACGCCCGGTTTACACGAATTAGGGTACAATAGGACTGATATACCTGAAGAAGGTAAAAGCCCTTATAATAATAAAAAAAAAATTGTGTGTTTATTGCGTATCTTGCGTGTCTTGTCTGCGTATATTGGTATGGTCGCAACTTTCCACGCTCAGTACAAATATTTACAACTCGGATCAATTTAAATAGACATAATTTCAAGATGAACAAATTCATCTTGAAATTCTCTCTGGTTTGAACATTTTCTATATATTTTATATAAGAGTATGTCCGTATTTACAAAAAAAAAAAAATATTTCGTGTCGTCATCTATCACTTTTCCCGGTACAAGCTTTGCTTAGTATGGAGTAGAATGCCCATGAGGTTATCCACGTTGTTCTTTAAAAGTTCTTGTTTTTCCTCCAGGCACAAACGTCGCCTTTCGAAAGCCAGCGAACCAATCCACCACCGTGCGAGGTGGTGGCGCTGGCAACGGTAACGACGGTGAGAAGACAACTGAGCATGATGGTAAACGGTGCACGGAGACTCAGCGTGAAGCCTCACCCTGGTGGCAAGTGGACCTGCTGAGGCATTACGCAGTGAAGGTCGTCAGGGTTACGACTAGAGGATGCTGCGGTGAGTAGGACTAGTTCTATCCTTTCTTAAATTTTGCACCCATAAAAGGAAATTTAACTGAAGAGCACTTAAAGACTTTTAGTAATCAGCAATGGTAATGCATAAAGAGTATCATGGGCGACACAGTATTTTCTGTGACACTCATGGTACTGTTCATATCTATAGGCGACGGTTACCACATTCTATCAGGTAGACCGTCAGTTTGTTTATCATTCCAAGTTGCATAGAAAAGGTTAACGCAAGTAATGATATCGACGTAAAAATTTAGATGTCTTTATTTATGTTTACTTTTGTAATTCATATTATTATTTTTTTTATTTGTGTATTAAACCTTGCATTATTGCATTAAATACAGTTTTATATAGTAAATCATATTGAACATTGAAGAATTTACATATAAAATTTCGACCTCTTTTTTGTCATACTTTATATGAGCGACTTAAAATATTCTATAGCAAGGTTTATGTCTTCTATGATACATACACACATGCATATATATAATCTGGTGTTCTAATTTGATTTGTATAGGTTCAGCAGCGTCAGTTCAACGATGATGAATTATTCGGAATTTTAGTAATAGTTTAATATTAGTAATATTTTATGCTATGTTATTATCGATCAAAAATTATACTAAGTTTTTTTACTAATTGGATCACATTATACTTACCAATCTTATTATGATTGTTTTTTAATGAATAATAATGGAATATCGACCACGCCTATGCTATCTGTATACATACACTGGCGGGGCACCAGTCAGGGATGATTGGTGAAGGTGAAAGGGCAATCAGCACATCGTGACGAATTCAACGATAAATTAATCACGATGGTTTCTAGGGGGAACCGCGTGGAGGCGACCTGGTAGGGTATATTGATAGCAATGGAAACTAACCTCCGCATTAAGGGGAAGGGATCGTTTGGATTGTTTATAATTACTCCTCTCCATCCAAAGGTTGCCTGGAAGAGATCGCTCTTAGCGATAAAGTCGCCCATTGTTTTCTCATTGTGATTATTTCTTGTAATTATTTATATTTATAATAAGTTTACTATTGTAATCTTTTGGAGGAAACAATAAAGAGTATCTATCTATCTATCTATCTATCGTTAGTAATGCGGGCTACCAGTCCCATTGCTAGCAATATACCCTGTCAGGTCGACCTCCACGCGATTCCCCTGGAAACCATCGTGCTGAGTTCCAGGTGTATTCATCACGATGAGCTGACTGACCTGCTTTTTCATTATTCGCCTATCATCCCTCACTGGTGCCCCGCCAGCGTATACCGTAAGCGCAGGCGGGGCACCAGTGAGGCCATACCATTCCATTAATCATGCATTAAAAAAACCTCCGCATTACTAACAATCTCCTCCCCCCACCTTATTATGATTAAACTAATATTATAAGAGCAATAAAAGTTGATGTAACAAGTTGTCTATAAACAAAAATAAGTTTTATCTACGTAATGAGATATATAAAAGTAACTAATACATCAATTCGCCACTTCCTCAACTTTCACGTAATAATATATTAGCTTTCCACTTAATATGTTCTAGCGAAGAATTTACTAATAACAATAATTACCTACATTGACGATGATTTATCTTGGTACACGTAAACCACTGTCTACTAAACTAAACATTACGCTGTCAGTTTATAACTGGGAATGTTATTATATATATTTTCTCGTTACATCAAATACTATAGTTATAAATCATATTACTTATTGATATGGTACATTATAATTGAAGATAAACTACTCATAGTAACAGCAGATTCGTGGTCTTGTAGTGTATTAGTTACTCACATTTTAATTTCTTACGTAAATCAAAGATCGTGAGTTCAAATTTGATTGATTTTAAAAAAACTTTGTGTTATCGACTTTCCAGTGAGGATAGATTATCTTAATTTGTTTTTTTTTAATGGGTGATAATGGAATGGTAACTCCGCCTGCGCTATCGGTATAGGCTGGTGGGGCACCAGTGAGGTATGTTAAGTGAAAATGAAATAGTTCAGTTAGCCCATCGTGACAAATTCAACAATGAACCAGTCACTATGGTTTCCAGGGGGTACCGCGAGGAGGTCGACCTGATAGAGTACATGGTTAGTAGAGGGGTTGCTAATCCTCATTACTAATAATCCCTTCCCCCTTCTTAAGGTGGTTGTTCACTAAACAAAATTAGACAAGAAATACTAGATGACACTCCAGAGCCAATTTCAGTAGAGACATAGTGTTTGTTGATTATTTTGTAGTTAAACATAATTTGAAGTAAAATTTCTAAAAAGGCGAGTGGTTTTTATTATTAAGTATGAATATGAAATGACAGATAATACGCGATCATTTTCTAAACATACTCTTAATCCGAGAGACAATGAAAGGCTTGCCCTTTACCTCATTACAATCTAATAAGATCGATGAAATATGGTCACGTGCCGTGTTGTAGTTTATTCCAATAGAAATGAATGAAGAGGTATCAATTTTTACAGTAATTATCACAAAAAAGCTCTCTAAATTAAATTACTTACAAATCGTTACATGAAATCAATAAATCGCTTACTTATTTGTAATACTGTTGGACATCATTAGTTTGTCTTATGATTGAGTCGAATATACATTTTTTTACATTTTTATTCATTTCTATTGAAACAGACTACAACGGTAATAATCGACTTATACCTCTGACATCAGGATAACACTACCTTGTACCTTTAAAACCAAATAATTTTAAAAATATATTATAATACTTCCATGCATCAGAGCACAATCAGTCATAAATTGGTCACAGGTAAAGAATTGTTTTGCAACTGCCGCCATCGTCCGACATTGTCGCAGTGTTGTTGCAATCATTGCTAAATATCTCCTGCCGTTTGTGCTGTAGGCGGTAAATGAATATTCTGATATGTGAACGCAGATGACAACCTTAATTATACAGGGTGAAACCGAAACCAAATTATTTTAAGGGAGTGTTCTACCAAATATATACGTATAATAATACCAAATATAAATAATACGACAAAAAAATTTAACCTTTTGAGATTTAGTCGTTAGATTTAGTTTAAATCTACAGTTAGCCGCACCATACAAGTATTTTTGCCAAATTTCTCTTTATATTTAATTCATGTTTTTTTTAGAAAAAACAATTCAATTTTACTACATAAAACATCGTCATATCTTTATTACGATTCATTCTATATATAATATATGTATACAGGCACACAAACAAAGTCATTGGCGTAGCTAGTTTTTATATAAATTACTGTAAACATTACTTTTGTAAATGTAAAAGATTCACTTTTATAAATATAAAAAAATAAAAATTATAGATTTTAAATCCTGTATACGGTCTTTCAATCTAAGAAACAAATGTTATTCAAAACCATTCCACCGCTCACATGTACGAGTAATTAACTATCATCTTTATAAACTTTTACATTTACGTGAATAAGTTTCTTCGTTGCGTAACTTATCATTTTTAATTGCAGGTCACCAACCTCTACAAGACCTTGAAATACGCGTGGGCAACAGCAGCTCAGATCTCCAACGGAACCCACTATGCGCCTGGTTTCCTGGCACCATCGGTAAATATAAAATAACTTTTATACTCTATAGCAAACAAAAAATCTAAGATGCATAGTCAGTGGCTAAAAACGCCACAGAAAATAGAGCGCATTGTACCAAATTGAGCGCTGATTTCTAACCAGTGATGTTTTTGTCGAGCGTGCCGAAACATTTTTATAAATTTTTGTAAAAATGTTTAGATATAAGTTTTTATCATCATCATCATCATCATCATATTAACCGTTAATTGTCCACTGCTGACCATAGGCCTTCCCTTATTGGAAGATTTGGCCAGTAGTTGCCACGCTTGCCAAGCGAATTGGCAATCGCAGTTAGACTTTAGTAATATTTTATCAGGAGCCATCTCTTAACCATTAAGTTTCTTCGCTTCTTACGACATCCACAGGAAAGGAAGGGATGGCCCATTCTATGACGGGACCACAATGCAATAGGTTCTTATATATGTTTTTTTTTATGGGTGATAATTAAATGGTAACTCCGCCTGCGCTATCGGTATACGCTGGCGCGGCACCAGTGAGGGATGACAGGTGACGGTGAATTCTACTAGATTAGATTCTATTAACCACGATGGTTTCCAGGGGAACCGTGTGGAGGTCGACCTGATAAGGTGTATTGCTAGCATTGGGTCAATTAGACCCCATTACTAACAATCCCATTCCTCCCTCTTATACCTATATATTATTAAATAAAAGAGTTTTTTCGTTATTCTATGAAAACTAGGTTATTATTTTTTTTAATGGGGACAGATTGTACTTATATGGAGAATCTATCTAATTATATTATCGAGTAACTATATGGTGCCTATTGTGAATCTTGATAGTTTTTGTGTATCGATGAGAGATATCTATTGTTTTTAAAATTTATGACTTATTTTGTTAAACAATAAACACAATTCTCGTAATTATATTTTTTGCTGAGTGTATTGCGCGCGCACTGAGCTAATAGCCTAAATGCACTGCTGTGACATACAAATACGTACAATCATTTTCTTTTTATGCGACGATGACTTGTGTGTTATCATGATAAGTCATCATGATGACTTGTATACACTCCTTTGCAATAAAACTAGTATAATTTTGTAGAAGGATACAGCGTTGAAAACTTTGTTATTACAAAAATATTTTATTGGAGTTATAAATATACATCTTTACTTATTTTAAAAGCAACTATATATAATCATAAAATACTAGTAGGCCGACCGCCCAGTAGTCGAAATTATGACCACCATAATATATATAGTAATAAATAAATTTATTATTGTTATGTTTGACATTCAATAAGACTATAGACAAATAATATTTAAGACAAACAATATTAACCTATTCTCAATTTGACCACAGACTGTAACAATAAACAAAAGAGTATATATGTGTGAGTGTCAAACACATGGTAGTGTGTGTAATTTTGTTCTATTGATTTACGTAATGTATTTTAATGCATAATTTAAAAAAAATTGCATTCTGCACTCCTTCTCTTAATAAATTATAAGTGTGTAAAATTTCATACTCCTCCATCCGCGCAATTTTCGTAAAAAGGGGTACAAAGTTTTTGCGTTTTTGTCACGTATTAATATATAGATATAACTGCATATATATTGCGACTAGACATTTAAAAAGAATCGATATCAAAGCAAAATTTGAAAAAGTTAGATATGATATATGTTTTAGTAGTCAGAATATTTTTAAAATTAAACGATAAAGCGGCACAGTTTTACAGTTATGTAGATACTCGTATTTGAGCGGTATGGTTGACTCACCTAATTTTATGTCCATTTGCTAAAGTAATCATTATTTATAAATAACTATAAAATCAGTAAATAAATATGCTCACGACTATAATCCTTAAGGCAGTAGTCAGATGCATTTATGAACTATAGCCGTTGTGATGAAAGTAACACTCGGCATACCCAAATTTTGCCAAAGTTATTAGAATGTAACGTGGCAGGAAGTAAGCATACTGCCAGCTCTCGTATTAATTTCGTTCATTTTCGATATTTCCTATTATCAACAATAGAAGTTAATCAGGAATTTAAATTGTCTTCTATTTTTTTACACTCTAACCGTATAAAACAAAATCGCTGTATGCGTCTGTCTGAATCTCTGCTTATTTCTTCTAAAACACCTAGTGGATTTTGATAAGGGTCACAATAATATTTCGTGATGCTTTACATAATGCTTTAATAATAAATTTTAAGGTAACGAAATATGAGACAGATCGTTAATAGACAATAATACAGATTTAGTTATTTTACTCGAAAAATCGTGCCAGTTTTCTGTCAATATGTTATGTTCAATAGGCGTATTTAAAAACTTTTCGCTAAAATTAACTTTATACGCTTGCAAAATAATCCTATAGTATATATTGCTATGTGTGTGCACAGTGATAAATGTAAACAATATATGGAACTTCACGAGAATTAATGGCCTATAAAGTAGGCCGCTAAAGGGTTTCGTTACCAACCAAGAGTTAAGTCATCGCCCTACATTTTCAATAAAAATAGGTCAAAACAAATTTGCTGAAATAAACCCTATAAAATGTGTGAAATAGTTCTTTTCAATTTAAACTACAACTTTATATTTATCCATATGTTATTCTGTTTTTAGGATTCCGTATCTCAAAAGGAACGGAGTCTGTTTATTTTCGTCTGTAAGGATTCTTTTTTTGAAGGTGTGAAAAAAATCCATCTTTTAAATCGACGCAAACAAAATATACGACCGTCTATAGCGTATATTTTGACAAATGCAATGAAAGCATCATCTGTAGGATATCAAAGGGATACCGTATAGATGTTGCTTTCAGAGTCTAAATTTCAGAATCTAGAGTCATAAATTTACCAAAAAGCACTTTCGCATAACACAATTAAAGGAGAGAATCTAAGAACCGTAAATTTGTAATTAGACCGCAAAAAAAAAATTGTAAACATTTTGTTTAATTATAATTTATACGGAACTGAATTTACAGAGTACATTCACAGAGTATTTCTGTCAACTTGTTTGCCATTCTAAGTTACATAAAAAAAAAATAGTAATAAAAGCGAATCCAAATTGACAATTGATTCCAAACAAAAAAAGATATAAACAAATTGACAACTTAATTTTAATTGAGAATTCTTTTACCAATCCATCATACTTAACAAATTACAAAATATATCAATCAATTTACTTCCATGTTTATAATATTAGTAAGGATATTAATATATTTATCTTAAGTCGGTAAATAAACCCACCGATGGGTTCTACTTTCCAGTTAGTTCCCATGACACGTGGTGTAGGTGCGCGAGAGTCTGCGAACGACATGATTTCCACTTTCTTTACATCATTGCGTGCATTTCACTTGTATATATTTATACAATTTGTATTTTTTTTTTATTAAATTTGTAATATAGGTCAATTCTCAGATCGGTGCACCTTAGCTGAACTGAAAAACATCGTTTTGTCAAAAAAATGTTTCTATTTACAGCTAGGAATAATTTAGTATGGATAAAAGTGATATTTATGTTTTTCCGAATATATTTTTAAATTTTTCTCAAAACAAGAACCTACCTCGAATTTGACCGAATATTTAAAAAAAATCTGATTTAATCAAACCATTTTTTATTTACTGAATGAAAAATTTATATAATTAAAAATGAATTTTTAAATATGTTTTTTGATTCAGTGAATTTCTATCCTAATAATTATAGCAGGAAATGCTTCTTACTAGATATCGCTAAAGATTTAGATTTTGGAATACATAACTACATATTTTATAACATATGTATATACCTACCCATAATTTGTTACACATATATAATAATAATAATTATATTAATAGATAAATTTATTTTTTGTGTAATGTTAACATTCGCCACTCCACCATTGCCCTCAAACGCATTCTGTTTTTATCTAAAGGTTAGCTGATAGAGAATGCCATGCGCCATTAAGGTCACCATTTGTAAAATTTTTGTGTAATATAAAATAAATAAACATCCTATATTATCGTATAAAACACTCTTTATCCTAATATACATGGAATACGGCCGAGTATTTTTGTAAATTATGCATATTTAACATTTATATATTTTACTATTTAATATTATATCATCTAAGAGAAAAACGAAACACGTGACCAAAATTTTCACTCTATATTAGGTACATGCATTAGGTAACCAACCATCTAAGCGGTAATAACATATTACATGATATTAGACAATCCATTACCACATTAACAACAAAAATAAAATGCAATGTCCACTCTGAACCGGCAGTGAACAGCGGATAAATGATTATATCGAGAAAGTTAAGACGACTTGCGCTTTCTAAATGCGTCGCTCGTTTTCTTTGATTGTTGTCAACAATTGATAATTCAAAACATTCCCACACCTAATAAAAGTGTTCGTGGTGTTAATAGGTTGGTTATGCGGACCGACTGTTGCACCGTCGCGTAACGATGTCGTAATTAAACTTAATTCTCGTACGCTTCACGACTGCGACTCGCTGTGGTTAAAGAATGAATTTTACACATATTTACATTTACGTTAGTGTTACGTTTACATTACGTTTATATTACAGCTTACGTTGAAAATTTACGTCGAAAACTTAACAGCGCCTCTATCGGATAGTTTTGAAAACAGAGTTTTTACCGATTAAGGAATTGCAGGATTATTCAAATGTGCAGGATTGTTCAAATCTTTATATCACAAAGAGCAAGGCCTTAGATCTCCCGTTTAAGTGATTATTTTGTTTTTGTTTCGTTAAATAAGTTTGTTTTTACAATAACTAATTAAAATATTTATCAACCAAATCTGCATTGTTTCAAAAATATTAAAGTCACTAGACCAAAACTGTAATTAATTCGTCCATTTGTATAAAAAAAGTCAAACGTGAGAACTTCTGTACTTCTTTTTATGCAACGTGCGATGATGAACTAGCCGACGATCCATGTGATAGAAAGTGATAACGTGTCGTCTATACACATGAATAGCATTATGGAGTGAGAACTATTGTGTTATTGTTATGGCTTCATACCTTGTACACACTACACTACTACACACTACTCTACACTTAAAGAGGTCTCGGGTTCGAATCTCTGTGGGGCCGATTTAGAAAATGAATTTTTTATAAACTAATGTTTTAATATGTTCGTAGTATGGTTCCTCATAATACGGGATAATCCTAGATTGAGGATCCGCAGGTCTTCTCTTGAATCTAATATCAATATCAAACGAATCTATTGCTAATGACAATTTTATACTGCACTCATGAAATAACAGTTAGAAATTAGGTTATAATTGAAATCGGTTTACAATGGTTTGCATTGGCAAGTTACACTAATATGGGATCATTATATCGCTAGTATAGCAATTCAAGAGTGTAACGTCTCAATTTCAATGTATTGGAATTTATTGCAAGTGTTACCTCAATAGTGACTGGTGTGTAGATACAAAGAGGTAGGAAAATTTTTCTGTTTTTTCGTTTCCAATTAGTAAATATACTGTGTGATAGGAGGTCGACGTGTTCGTGATGAGTGTGGCATGTTTGACGAACGTAGTCCTGCACGCTATGCACGAGGGGTAGGCACTAACAAGCTATGCGAGCGATGCAATAACAATCATGTGCATTGTGCAATTCTTATGTAGGAAGTTTTGTTATGTTATAGGATATTATACATACACGATACAAGGAACTGGATTAGCAGTTTACATTTATAAGTATTCATATTTAAGCCACTTTCAAAAGATGAATTCAAATAACGAATTTTTTTACTTGATTTACGTAATTATATCGCCAATTGTTAACCGATTTTCAGAAATATTTTACAATCGAAAGAGTTCACTACTGTGTTAGTCTTATCTTAGTTTTGTGATGATTGAAACTGCGGTTTCCCTTTGAGGACGAAAAAAGTGTTTGTAGGGGAAAAATATCTATTTGTAAACGTTTAATATTTATCTAGATAACTTACGAAACTTTTCGACATTTATCAATGCATTCCTGTTTAAACGTTTCTCATTTTTTTTTTGCAAACTAATACCTTAGAAATATATAATCTGAGCCTAAATCCTTTTACTTTTAGTAATACTTAGCAATACTTATTATGGTATCCTGTTTAATATGAAAAATATAAGTATCTATTCGTATGACCACTGCTTCTGCCCGAAGCGTTATAGGGGGAAATGTACGTAAAGTCAGCAAATTGCAACAGAAACAGTATAAGAACCTGAAATCCAGCTATAGTTTACTATTTCTTTAGAAATACGTGTGTGAATCAAATTTTGTTTTATGCAATTCAAAAGATGATTGTTATTTTTATAATAATTCCATCGATAATAATTTAATTATGGGGGTTATTTACCCCCATAATTAAATTATTATCGATGGAATGTCGTCAATAACTTAGCAAATAGTATAAACATACAAGACAATTTACAATACAATAGTTTCAACAAATGTATGTTATCTATTTGTATTGTAAGATAGGACACTATACCAATATGTATTTCCTTTGTTGCAGATGAAGGTGTGACGAAAACTTTCACATGCGCCAGACCGCTGATAGGCCAACACGTGTTCCTGCAGCTAGTGGGGGTGGAAGGCTCACTGTCACTCTGCGAAGTCGAAGTGTTCACCACTGAAGGTTAGTTCTATAAGATCACCAGTTCATTAAGATGACGATCCAGTCTAGTAACAGCCTTATGTTAGGGTATAAGCTTAACTTAGTTTATATTACCATCTTGACGACTTCGGTGTTGTAGCGGTGTAAAATATAGCCTCAAATTCTGATGGTCGTGTTTTCATTCCCTGTACAATACAAAAACCTACTTATATAAGTATATTTATATTATTGGTCCAGGGTTATTGACCACTTAAATTGTAATCTAAATGGTGATTGTTTTTCGTAGAATTCTCAAACGACCGCTGCGCCCCCGCCGGTGCACCAGCCGACATAGAGTTGGCGGCTTTCTCAAGAAATTGTTATGAATTCAATGTAGCCAAGGGTGGCTCTTTCGATGATGCACGGAAGCAGTGCCAGTCGCACGGAGGTGACTTAATACATGGCTTTCAGGTATAATATGTTTTATTTTACAATACTGAGCAGCTAATAAGCAAACTAACGACCTATCTTTAGAAATGTGATAATCGTCGCCTATAGACATGAACATTGTTACGGTTACATATATTTGAAAGAGAAGAAGAGCTAATTTAATAAAATTACCATTGATATATCTCTCTGTCTATATGCTACAATAGAATATGGTTAAGGAGATTTCAGTAAAGTTTTTAACTAAGATAATACAAAAAATTGAATGCCTTAATTTCCTTGTAATTTTATCAAAATAAATAAATAAATTCCTAATAATTAAATTCCTAACTAAAAACTGTTTTAAATATATCTACTAGTTATGCATGAATTAGTATAAAAAGTATGCCAAATCCGTTCAGCCATTTAAAAGCATTTGAATAACGCAATTCTAAACCTCGAAACGTCTTTATAATACCACAATAATTATAATTATTATAACATATAACGGCATATATTATAATAAAAATAAAAAACGATAATGTCTCAGTGAAATCACAAAAACTATTGTTATTAACATTTAAATTTATAGGAACACAATACATGGGAAATGATCTTCCAAGAAATGTAATGTATAGAACCTAGTGATATATATACATACAAAACCATTGAATGTGGAAAGCCGGCTTTCCTCTCATTGGATGTGAGTGTTTTGCATAACAATAGGAATTGTATATTACAATGGACCGTGTTAATTGGAATATATTATAATACAATAAAACAACGATAGTAGAGTACCTACCTACCAGAGGAAGGCAAAAGTTATCTGCTTTGGTAGGCACTTGGTTTCTGCTGTAAAACAGGTACGAGTATATTCACATGAATATTTCAGATTGAAGGGTGGGATATGGCAATAAACCTACAGGTGAGGTATAATATCTTCGCTCTTAGGAACAGCAATTCAAGGGCGCCACAGTCTGTGATACCCATACTGCTGTTAATATCTTTAGGTGACGGTTACTAGTATTCATCAGGTGTACCATCAACTTATTTGCCATTCAATGCTATTCATAAAAATTTAATAGTTGTCTGTGAATAATTCTTTGTTGTAGGGTGCTACGTCAAGTTTCCTAATTCAAGAATTGGAGAGACGTAAAGCGCAATTGAAGACTCAGCTGGTGTGGATCGGAGCGCAAAAAGAACCAGGCCTCACTTCCAGGACTTGGAAATGGGTTAATGGTAAACTATGTTTTATTTATATTTTGTACGCATATAGTGTTTCAACTATCTCTCATGATTGGATCTCTTATATATTCAAATATCTGTTTCAAATATCTCTATAATAATTGGAAATAACAAACTAATTTATTGGAAGAGATGGCGGTAGTCACGTACTTTACTATGTTGGATTGAAATATGCTCAAAAAAAGAGTAAGCATGTTTATGTTACATTTAAATCAGTAATAATTAACAAACTATTAATTATTATTGCCTATGGTACATATAAATTATCTATCTATCTATCTAATAAATACATCTAATAAAGATATTAAAATGCGATATAAAAATAACGCTATAAAAAATTCTGAAAGTTTTGTCTCCCCAAAAAATATAATGATCATACGAACGGATGTATCACTGATTCGAGAAACCATGTTTACTTCTTCACGAATTAGCAAATTTAGAACGTAGAAAAGTAGTTACTGACCCGTTACGCGGGCTTACCACTCATGTATGAATTCTCATTATCAGGTGATGTGGTCTCCAAACCGACCTGGGGCAAGGATCAACCGAACAATTATAACGGGGAACAGAACTGCGTGGTGCTCGACGGCGGGAGGGCGTGGCTGTGGAACGATGTTGGCTGCAACCTGGACTATCTCCACTGGATCTGCCAGTACCGTGAGTGTCACCTTCATAGGTACATATCGTCCTTTTCTGGTTGGCTCGTGCGAATTGGCCACGCGAAATGGTATGATTGATTTATAAGTTGCACTTGCTATGGAAATTCGACCAATTATCGTGCAACATACAGTTTAATTTGTTTTAACTTATTTAACATAAAGATACATAATATAAACACAGCCCATAAATTAAAGATAGTACGTGTGGTCGCATTCTATAGCACAGGGCTAATACATTGTCGGTTTGCCTAATGGTTGCCTGGTAGAGAACAGCGTCCGGTGTTAAGTCCGCCAAATGTACATAGAATTTTACTATGCATTAAAATTTAAATAATTAAATATTAAAGAAGGATTTTCATACAACAAACTTCTAATATTACTGGCAACATAGACGACATTGTTTTTTCTATAATTATTTGGTTTAATTATTCTTTTAATCTTTTGTCTACTATTGAAATTTAAATATTATACCTATGTTACCTAATTGAATCTTATAATTTTGACAAATTTATGGAAAAATATGCATTAAATAATTGTACTATCCTTACTAATACGTATTATAAATATGAAAGTGAGTTTGTTTGTTATCTCTAAGCGCCTTGACAGCTAGACCAACCACTATAATAAATTAGTATACACGTACTATACGGGATGGAGAACGATATAGGTTATAGTTAATCCCGATTTATAAACATATCCTGATGATCATCATCAGGCCAAAATCGCTAGTAAAAGCTAGTTAATGTTATAAATGCGAAAGTTTATAAAAATATGTTTATTATTTTTTCATTAATATAATAGAATAGAATAAATATTTATTGTGAGCTGTACATTATAATTTTTCGTAAGATGTTATTAACGTCTTAAAGGAAAACACAGCCTACCCATACATTGGGCATACAATACAATACATGTAAACACTACTAAACTGATTTGAATGAAATATAGTACACGGGAAGATTGTATCCTACCTTAGTACATAGAACACTATATATTCACGCAGGCAAAGACGCGGGATACAGTTAATAAGGAATAACTGAGTCACAATTCCGCCATTACAATTTTGTGACGTATAGTAACCGGTTAGCTTAAAGCGAATGATGTTAAGAGAGAATGATATTAGTAGAATGTATAATGTAAACGTTTATTAATACAGTAATAATAGTAATATAATAGTAAAGAAGGAGAACAATAGATAATATAAAAAAGGTATAATATTAAGACGATATGTGTGCCGTGGCGCCAACAACAACATTCCTTTCATATACGCATGCGCGGACTGCGCGCGCAACCCGTAGTCGCCGAGCGCCTGCGCGTCCTGCGCGCGCATAGGTACATCAAACAAGCTGCGTGCGCGACCGACCGTATTACATATATATATAAAATATTTACGCTTGTCTGCGTGTTTTTACAAAATAAATAAAATATATAATTTTATAAGTATGCTACATCACCCCCCTCCAGAGACCGTCTCACGGGCGATAATATTTAGGGAAGTGAACAGATCTGTACGATACGAATATAGTACGAACAATACGACCTGATCTCGTCTTACGGATATCATTTCTTCCAGTTTTGTTAGGCGTAGTGTGTTGTGGCGAATTTGTGGAAGAAGTGTTTGTATTGTGTGTTGTGTTCTGATTATTTTGTGTGTGATTGCTTGATGATTGATTACTAGATGTGTGTGTGTCTGGTGTGGTTGTACTCATGTATGTGTTAATGTCATGCAATATGTAAGCTGGCTTTATTCGGTCTATAGAAACTGTGACAGGGTTATTACGTAAAAGTATTTTGAAGACTTTGTCTGTTCTTTCTAGTACTTCGTGTGGCCCAGTGTAAGCAGGTGTTAGAGGTCTGCGACAAGTATCGTCCCGAAGAAATACGTGTGTGGCTGTTTTGAGGTCTTTATATACAAAAACAGATCTTTTGCTATGACACGGTGTGGCTGTGGGCTGTAACCTTTTAGCGAATGAACGTATTCGTGACAAATAATCAGTTACATCTGGGATGGTACTTTCCTCGTATTGGAAGAAATCTCCTGGTAGCCTAAGTGTTTCTTCGTATGTAAGTTCGGCTGATGAAGCATGAAGATCCTCCTTGTATGCATTCCTAATCCCAAGCAGTACCAAAGGGAGAGTTTCCACCCAATTAGAATTGGCATGACAAGTAATTGCTGCCTTTAATTGTCTATGGAACCTTTCTATAAGGCCGTTGTATGAAGGGTGATAGGCGGTCGTTCTTCTATGTTGGAAACCGATGAGTTCAGATAATTTTTTGAACAGGCATGACTCAAACTGTGCACCTCTGTCGGTGACAATAGTATGAGGACAGCCAAATCGAAAAATCCATCCATTTAGTAGAGCCTTGGCCACTGCTTCAGCTGTGATTTCCTGGAGTGGTATTGCCTCAGGCCAGCGAGTGAATCTGTCAATAGCTGTAAGGCAGTATCGATATCCTTGTGACAGTGGCAGGGGTCCAATAAGATCAATGTGAATATTACTGAATCTCGATTTTGGAAGCTTGAATGTGCCCAGAGGTGAAGAGACATGACGAGTGACTTTTGATCTTTGGCAAGCCAAACAAGTCCTTGTGTATTCTCGACAGTCTTTTTTTATCCCTGGCCAGACGTACCTCTCTGCTACCAGTTTGGAGGTAGCATTTGCTCCTGGATGACTAAGCGAATGAAGAGTTTCGAATATTCGCCGGCGATACTCCATTGGAACATATGGTCTCACAGCATTGTCTTTCTCATCACAATACAGTTCAGACAGTGTACCTGGCAGTTTAATCTTTTTTAGATGTAGTGATGTGTTGCTGTTCAGTAGCAGTTGTAGTTCTGGATCGGATTGTTGTGCTTTCGCTAACAGCTCCAAGTCCACTGGTTGAACTATTTCTTCTATTCGTGAAAGGGTATCAGCTACTACGTTATTCTTACCTGAGATGTGCCTGATATCTGTTGAAAACTGCGAAATGAAGTCTAAGTGTCTGAACTGTCTTGGAGAGCAATTTTCCTTTCTTGAGTGAAAAGCGAAACATAAGGGTTTATGGTCTGTATAAATAATAAAGTTTCGTGCTTCTACCATGTGCCTGAAATATTTGATTGTTTCGTATATTGCCAACAATTCCCGATCATATGGAGAATATTTTCGTTGGGTTGAATTAAATTTTTTAGAAAAGAATGCCAGAGGTTGCCATCCTTCATTTTCTTTGTACTGCTGTAGCACTGCACCTATTGCTGTGTCAGATGCGTCTGTAACGATTGCTAACTTAGCCTGACAGTCTGGGTGTGCTAACAGAGCTGCTTCACAGAGTCCCTTCTTACAGGCCATGAATGCTTCGAGTTCCTTTGGAGAGAATGTGACAGGATGAGAGCCTTTTACCGAGCCTACTAATAAAGAATTTAAGGGGTCTTGGTATTGGGCAGCATCAGGAACGAATCTCCTATAAAAATTAAGCATACCCAAGAATCTCCTTAGTTCCCGTATTGTTTTTGGCACCGGAAAGTTCTGTATAGCTTCGACCTTGGAGGGAAGCGGCTTAGTACCATCGGCAGATATGAGGTATCCTAAAAACTTTACCTCGGTAGCACCAAACACGCATTTCGAGGTGTTAATTACCATACCGTATTCGCGTAGTCTAGTAAACAGCTGTCTTAGATGGTGCTTGTGCTCCTCTTCATCTTTCGAGAAGACTAGGAAGTCGTCCAAATAAGCGAATGTAAAATCAAGGCTTCTCAGCATCTCGTCCACGAAACGTTGAAATGTCTGTCCGGCATTACGAAGTCCGAACGTCATGAATGGAAATTCATAAAGACCGAACGGCGTCGTGATTGCGGTTTTCTTGATATCCCCGGCGCTTACAGGGATTTGATGGTAAGCTTTCACCAAATCAATGGTAGAGAACACTTTGCAGCCTGAGAGATTATGGGCAAAATCCTGGATATGACGTATAGGATATTTGTCAGGTATTGTTCGTGCGTTTAACATTCTATAGTCGCCACATGGACGCCAGCCATTATCTTTTTTAGGTACAAGATGGAGTGGTGAGGACCAGGACGACTCGGAAGGTGTACATATACCCTTCATAAGCATTTCAGCAAATTCCTGTTTAGCTATTTTTAATTTGTCAGGAGCTAGCCTGCGTGGTGTTGATGTAACTGGCGGGCCAGGAGTTGTACGTATGTGGTGTACAGTGTTGTGAGTGGGGATGCGGTGTGTACCATGTGGACGAGTAATGTCAGTATATTCCCTAAGTATACTGTGATATATAGACTCACCCATGATACTTTTTACCGAAAAAATGATATCACAAGACTGAGCAGGCGAAGCCGGGGTCGCGAGGGTTGTATTGTTATCAATCAAGCGTTGGTTCCTGCAATCAACAACAATATTAAAATATGATAAAAAATCGACACCGATTATCGCCCTTGTTACGTCCGCAACAACAAATCCCCAAGCGAAGTCACGACGCAAGCCTAGGTTTAATACTAAATGTACATAACCATATGTTGCAATTGTAGTGCCGTTTGCTGCACATAATTGATAATCCGATTTTGGTCGACGTTCTTTTAGATAAGTACGAGGGAAAACACAGAGGTCACTACCCGTGTCCACTAGAAATTGCGTCTTCGTTTTCTTATCTGTTACAAATAGGCGACCATTTGTAGTGCAATCGTTGGCCGCCATTACCGATTGCCCGTTGCGTTTCCCGCCAAAAAATCGCAGGGTTGAATGCATTTTCTAGCTTGATCACCGAATTTGACATGGTACCAGCAATTGGGGTACTTCTTATGGTTTGAAGCTGATCTTGATCGAGATTGTGATCTTTTTCGCAATCGGTTAAATGGTTGACGTTCGCTATTACGAGATATTCTGTCTAACCTTGTAGTGAGAGCGTAGACTTGTTTTGTAAGCTCTTCTATTTGCTGGTTTAGGTGATTAATAGACATACCAGAAGATGTTGCTGCCGATGTGGATGCTACTTGCAGAATTGGAGGTACAACGTCATGTACTCTGTCTGCCAACTCGGCTAGTTCTTCTAGTGAGGCTTTCGGTTGTGATGCAATAATTGTCTGTGTACTTGCTGGTAGACGACTGGTCCATATAGTACGTAAAAACTCTTCCGGCACCCCAGGTCCAGCAAGATTCTGGAGATGTCTGACGAACTGAGAAGGTTTGCGATCACCAAGCTCTTCATGAATGAGGAGTTGTTTAACCTTCTTCTCTCTCGATGCTGACAATCGTTTAATAAGTTCAGTTTTAAGTCTGTCGTATTTGTTAGCCATCGGTGGGTTTGTGATGACATCTTCTACTTCCGCTGCATATTGTGGTTCCAATTGGCTTATAGCGTAGTAAAACTTCGTGGAGTCTGCAGTAATGGTGGCTAGTTGAAATTGCCCCTCTAATTGTGCAAACCAAAAAGCAGGTTTTTCAGGGTAGAATGGAGGTACCCTGACTCCCACACGGCAGGATTCCATGTTCTGTGCGCCTGGCTCCACGCTCATCTTGATATTCGTGAACAGTTTGGGGTCACCAGTAAAGCGAATGATGTTAAGAGAGAATGATATTAGTAGAATGTATAATGTAAACGTTTATTAATACAGTAATAATAGTAATATAATAGTAAAGAAGGAGAACAATAGATAATATAAAAAAGGTATAATATTAAGACGATATGTGTGCCGTGGCGCCAACAACAACATTCCTTTCATATACGCATGCGCGGACTGCGCGCGCAACCCGTAGTCGCCGAGCGCCTGCGCGTCCTGCGCGCGCATAGGTACATCAAACAAGCTGCGTGCGCGACCGACCGTATTACATATATATATAAAATATTTACGCTTGTCTGCGTGTTTTTACAAAATAAATAAAATATATAATTTTATAAGTATGCTACAAGCTTTTCACTTGATACTTTGCACTACAAGTCTCGATCGCACTTTTCCGAACCTCACGACATGAGGATCATGAGTCATAATGTCCGGCAATTAAAATTTAAAATTCAAATTTTAAATAACAATAGTAATTAAAATTTTGCAATTCACTGTATACAAGCAAGCTAAATATAGCTGAGGCTTTTTTTAATGGGTGAAGGTGAAACGGTAACCCCGCCTGTGCTATTGGTATATGCTGGCAAGTACCAGAGAGAGATGATAAGTAAGGATAAAATAAGGAGAGTTGCTCCATCGCAGCTTAAGCTGTACATAAACGACTTTGTACATAAATGTATCTATGTATCATCTTTGATCACATTTCTAACAAATTCATAAAATTGCAGCAAACAAATTTCGACTAAAATGGATTAATAATTTAAGTTATATAAAATAATAAGGCAATCTGGTCCCGGCTTAGAATAGGCCACCTGTTCCGTTCCGTACTCGTAAGAGGCGACTAAAAGAACTTAATAGTAGAGGGTTGGGTAGCAGCGTCCCTCTTAAAACATCTCAAAAAGCCTATCTGCAGTTGCCAAGTCTACCAACCACCTACCAAGCGTGGCAATTACTGGTAGAACTTTCCATTAGGGGAAGGTTTATTTTCAGCAGTAATCGCTGAAATGATGATGAAAATGATAATAGATATCTATTAGAATTTAACCATTATCACTTTTAACGAACTTGTTTTAAATATCATTGATATGATTTACTAAGTAAATAAGTAAGCTCACTAGCTTGGAATCGTTTGTAAGTAGGCACACGTAATTTTCAGAGAGATTTGTTATTCTAACAGCTTCTAACCCAATACGTTGTATCTATAGTTTTAAATTAACTTCATAATATTATTAAAATTGTAATTTTTTGCATAGCGAAAAAATTTTGCAATAACAGTTTCGAGTTTCGAGAATCACAGTGTTTCGAGACAGTTGAAATCACTGATACAATTGTCTCGCCATATTAAACTTGGGAAGCTGAACTGGCAATGGACTGGTCACATAGCTCGAAGAAATGTTCTTGATTGGTACGTGGTGACTCCGTACGGGCAAACGCAGTGTCCGCCAGATGGAGTGACGACCTCAAATACATTGCGGGGAGTCAGTGGATTCAAGACTCAGGACCGTTCCTTATGGCGGTCTATGAAGAAGGCCTATAGTTCAGCAGTGGACAGATGATAATGATGATATCAGATATGGATAAATGGAGAATGGGCCACCCCTTCCTTTCCCATGGATGTCTTTAAAGGTCGAGGAATGGACAGCTGCGTCCCTCTTAAAACATCACCATAGCCTAATTATGGTTGCCAACTAGCCTGGCAGGTGTGGCAACTATTAGCAAAACTTCCCTTATGGAGAGAATCTATGTTCAGCAGTGGACAATTTATGTCTGATATAATAATATCACTGTTGGATTTTCTATAGGATATAGAATGACAAACAAGCTGACGGCCCACCAGATGGAAAGTGGGAACCGTCGCCTGTGGGCATGAACAGCTCTTACGATATCCCAAGCGTTATTATTTCAGAAGACTGTGATGTTATACCTTTGTTCTTTGTAATTTCACTATCATATCCGACTTTTCAAATCAAAACACAGCACCATAAGCAGAGACAAGCAAAGAGGCGGCTGTTATACAAAGCGACCTTTGTTATTCGTGTCTATAAGCAACAATAACTACTTTGCATCAAATTTTAGCAATTCTCATAAAAAGAAATGCAGTTTTCGTCGTGATACAATATTGCTGTCTGTCTGTGTACTCTTGAACATTCGGCCTTGCTTGCTTTCTACATATTTGCGCAGTAAACATATCATTATGGACGCCACGATAACTGTTAGCAAATCGTTAGCATTTATAATAGACAAATTTAAAATTATAATCGACGCGACATCATTTCTCTACGCGAATTATTGTTAATTTATTCCTTATAATTATTTTCATTGCATAATTAAAATAGCTATTTCAAAGACGAGATCTAAAAGGATATGAAGATTTATAAACAGGATGAACTCCCACAATAAAAAAAATATGTAACACAGTAGTAGACTCGAGATATTTGTTGGAAAGTGGCGCCCTCTAGTGTGAAGAGGTTCTGCGCTGCCTTGTTATACAAAGCACTCTTATGTTGGTTACCAAACGACGCCTTTACGTGACCTCAAATCCAGAAAGAAAAGAAATACGCTCACAAATGTAAATAGGATAGATAGAAATAGCATGAGCAATAAAAACAATCGCTTCTTTTATTTCCAAATAAAATCTATTTTTTTTTTCATTGCTTACTTACATTGTTTATGGAGTTACAACATCAATACCCCTTCGTACCACTGAAATGGGAGCGTGTCATGGTCGTGTAAACTTTAACAATATTGCCAAAGCGAAATATAAACAAAAAAGCATGGCGATTGATTTAAAGATTGTTGATAAGCTACCAATATGATTTTTAACATATCAAATACATTTTCAGTGTTGCGACTGTTTTGTTTCACCGTGTTTCCATGAACATATGTGTGCATGTAGTATAACTACAATATATAGTTATACTACATGTACATGAATCGTAATACGATTTAATTTATTAATAATTATAACTTGCCGATTTCAATAGACATCTTACGCTAAGTGTATGTATCATGTAGTTATATATTTTCCTCGGCGGGTTATATGAAATGAATCGTATTATAATTTGTATCAAGGTTTTTGATATAACATATTTAAAATAACTACCTTATTTACATTAATATATTTCGTAAGTATATTTTTTATTTCAAATTATCCAAATTTGTTTTAGTCAAGATTATTATAATATATATATTGATATGATACACAATTTTGTTTCAAACATGTTTCTTATTTGTCTATATCAAAAACCTACACAATAATATAAAATTTAATAGCCTATTACAGCGAGTGTAAATATATTGTGCAAAGCGAAGACTCGACGCATTAACAATCTTGCACACTCTGCTGCATACTTTAAAATATATTTTTGTTCAACAGTACCCCCGTCCTGCGGCAGTCCAGATAAACTACTAAATACTACTATAAAGGGTGCAAACTATCATGTTGGTGCTTCGATTGAGTACAAATGCCCTGAAGGTCATATGCTGTTAGGAGATGAGACAAGGGAATGCAAGCCCGATGGGTTTTGGTCGGGATCAGCGCCTAGCTGTAAATGTAAGTCTCTTTAACTTATTACACCAATACTCGTACGCTTATTTAAGGGGGCGAGTAGGCCGTGCCCATTCTATAATTTCCTAATGCTTATAGTTTAAATACAGAAGTTTCATAAAGACATATCTAAGAGTACATATATACCTTTTTAAGAGACCAGGTACTCATGGAAAATTGACTTTAAACATAACCTTTTACGGAATAGGCAGAGCGATAACATGGAAATACTATGTTACTGATGTGTCAATAATAAGTGATAACATACTGATGTATGCCAATCTGTAATAGAGACAGTGACACGGTGGTCTTATAAATGTTCCATGTTTCCTATAGCGATTAATATAAACTTGCAAAGAGGAAATATTTGATTTATTGTTTGTAATGATTTTAGCGTCCCTCTTAAAACATGTTTAAAAGCCTAACTGCGGTTACCAACTCCCTCATGGAGAATACTTATGTTAAGCAGTGGATAGCTAACGGCTGAAATAATAATAAAATAATAAATGATTATAGCATAAAGAAAATCTTAAAGGATTTAAGGATTTTTTAGTAAGCAAATTACCTACCATACCTACAAGTAATATAGACTGACTACCTATCTACTCTACTTATCTTCCTACACATGCGAAGCTAGATCGCTAGTTTAAAAATATTATCTCGTATTATATTGTGTCAAAAATATAGCTTCAAATTACTAAACTAAGATACACAATTTTTTTATCATAAATTTTAACAAATTTTATGTCTTTGTTATTATTACCTGTTTGATTAAACTGAATAATCAAAGACAATTCTAAAATGGAAGGATTATCAAATAAGAAATATTTTTTCAGACGTCAACTGCGGTGGTGTAACGCCGATCCAAGATGGCGAAGTGACTTTAGTTGACGGCCGAACGACTCATGGCGCTAAGGCATTGTACACATGTAGAGAGAACCATACTCTCGTGGGGGAACCGGAGAGAGAATGCGGCGACGAAGGAGTATGGAGTGGGCAACCTCCGAAATGTTTATTCGATTGGTGTCCAGACCCACCGCCGGTTGCCGGAGCTATTGTTACTGTGGGTGGACATAAAGCTGGTGACCTCGCTACTTATACATGTCAAAATGGATTTATTCTCTTTGGGCCACCGGTTAGTAATTTTTAAATCTACTCGTGTAAGTATAGTGCTCTCTGGTTTCGAGTGTATCTAGACATTTCTACTTTATACACGATGATCTCGTGGAAGGGCGTAGGTTGGGCAGCAACGTCCCTCTTAAAACATCTCTAAAGCATGACTGCGGTTGCAAATCTGCCTGTTAAGTATGGCAACTACTGGCAAAACCCTCCAAGAGGGAGGCTTATGTTCAGTAGTGGACAGTTAAAAGCTGATATAATGATGACACGATGACCTTGGCTTTGTATTAAATGGCAGGAGTAAAGTAAATAAAAAACTGACACCCGGCAGATTTTTCACCCGGCACACGTTGTATCGAAGTTCGTTATTTTCTTTCCCGACTTTGCTCCGTCCTCAACATTGTTTTCAAAGATCTCACACTCCATCACATATCTTCGTGGTTTTATTTAAAGTATTTCGGAAATTAAAACGAATCTAGTATCCATTTATCTTTTTTACTTTGAGTTAAAACTTCAGAAATACGTATACGTAAATAAATATTTCATAAATTAATTATAGCCGCATAATGCTCAGACCTTAATATAAGCAACTAACGTAAAAATCGGTCTGCTTTTCTGTATAAGTAAAATGCTCTTTCTAATTAGTATTATTTCTTTATATAAGCTTAAGGCCATACCACAGTTTCACTTTCACTCAATATCGGGTCGCAGTCTCTTGCGACAACCTTCGTAAACACTGCTGTGGCTCTATTAATTTCTGCAAGGTCATTTTTTGTATTTTACAACAATTGGGGCATTTTTTAAATGAACATAATTATTCCAGTTCTGAAGTGAGACGACTCCGTTCAGACAAATACAGTATAGGAGTAATACAGTACAGTCTATGAGGAATATTCATTGTGCAGCGGTCAATTATCGACTGAAATTTTTTTATCATAATTTACACCTTACTTACTAAAGTAAAATTAATCATTAAGAGCCAAAAACAATAATAAAGGTGTTCAATTAAAAAAAAAAATATGATCAGTTCTTAATTACAAAAAATATAAATAAACTATTTCATATATTCTTTCTAAATTTATAGAGCGTAACATGCACTCTCGGAGGTCTATGGTCGGGCACCCCTCCATCCTGTAAGTACGTAGACTGCGGAACACCAGCTCAAGTCCACAAGGGATCCTTCAGGCTTCTCAACGGCACTACCACATACGGCTCCGTGGTCCAGTTCAGCTGCGAGACAGACTACTGGTTAGCTGGTGCCGAAGTCCTTACCTGCAACCGCGACGGGAAGTGGTCACACGACATCCCATCTTGTGAATGTAAGTTTTACTATAACAACCGTACTACCACTGCTTCACATTTTATTATGTAATTTGGCAAACATGCTGACGGCTCACTTAGCATCTTCGCATCCTATAATTTTAATTTCACATCCCACAAATATACAAGCACAGCTGATTTGAAGACAGAAGCATGAGTAGGACAGAGATACCCATGTAGATATTTTTTGTACGAAGTCTCAATCTAGTTTTAATTCATTTATCGTAGTTGGGCATTAAATGCTCCTGCGCAGAGTAACTAAAAAAAACATAGTATGGTTGGTATGGTTTTCTTGTGGTAGTAGCATTTAGGGTTGACGGGAGTTCAATTTAAAATATTCTTAACAAGAATTTAGAAAATAATATATATGTGCATATATAGTATATTCGAAATTCATTAGTATCAAATTCATATTCAATAGGCATTCCGACAGTACCAAAAAGTATGTTAAACACAAACAAACGAATAAAACAAATTATTCTTACAATTGCTGTATGGCACTGACATAGAATAGGTCATCCCTTCTTTTCCTGTGAATGTCCTAAGAGGCGACTAAAAGAAAACATAATGGTCAAGGGATGAGCAGCAGCGTGCCTCTTAAAATATCATCAAAGCCTAATTGTGTTTGCGAATCCACCTGCCAAACTTGTCAGCTACTGGCAACACCCTCCTTCTGGGGGAGGCGTGTGTTTAGTAGTCGACAGTGAACCGCTGATATGACGATGACGATGATGAGTTTTAGTAGGAACCTAGAGCGACAGATTTTAGGAGCGGCATATATGGGTAATTTTCTTTTTGTAATAATAAAGTTTTATTCACTAAAAATTATAATTAATATGGTAAAGGCGGCAAAGCGGGGGGGGGGGGGGGGATTGAATAGCTTACTGGCAGCAAATATATAATTCCTCCACTAGGTGGATGCCATTATATGAATCAGAAAAAAAAACGGCAAATTTGTTCCAGTGATATCGTGCTTGGACCCTGAAGTTCCAGCAGGCGGGTACATGGAGGCGTACGACTATAATGTCCACTCCACAGTTTACTTCCACTGTGAGAGAGGACACAAGCTCGTTGGTGAACAGAGGCTCACCTGCCAACAAGACGGGGAATGGTCCGGGGAGTACCCGAGATGTGAATGTAAGCGATTTATATCAATCACTAGCTGTGAATGATATGAGGCGTTTTAATAAGATCAGTAGAAACCAAACTTTTAGGACTTTTATCTATTTGTCTACATCTTTGTCTTTAAATTACCGCATTATTTTAGAAAGTTTACAGTTGTATTCTTGAAAATCGAAACAAATATAACTTTTTTTTTATTAATGTTTTATTTTCATATGCCATCTAGACAAGGCCTGTTCGATTGGTTTTTCTACTTCCAAAATCCACGCATATAGAATAGCGAAGAAAGCAAAGATTTATCTAAAGTCTCATTATATTCTTTCTATATAGATAGATATACCCATATATTTTTTTATAAAATTTGTAATATACAATTTGACTTGTTTTTTGTCTTTGTTACGATTTTATTATTTTATAACAATCAGCTTACTCGTATGTGAAATAAAACTGATTTTTATAAACAATAACACATGACCTTTCCAAATTACAGTATGCTTTATATTCTGAATTCCGTAATGTTTCGGTCTAATTTACCGGCATAGAAATTGACTAATTTATTTCTTATCATGGACTGCGATTAGGAATTAAGAAATTTCTCAAGTATTCGTCCCTTGAAAACATATTACAAATAATATAAAAAAAAATTACAAAATCTAATCATCCATTCTTTATTGGTGCGATTACTAACGATTATAACTAATATCTATACATGATAATGAAATCTATACATATAATAAAACTGTACAGGTCGAATATACAGTACATAGACAAAAAGTGCTAAAAACTATGATTCAGGGAAATGTTAGAAGTAAAATGGAATACATCCAGATTTTTTTAAATTTTTTTTGTTTCTCTGTCTTTTTGTAAGGACTAATTTCCGAAATAAATGAAATTTTGCATGATGATATGATGATAAATGAAATTTTGATGACATCCTCGGTCAATATTTTGTGTACTTTTAATCACAAAAATTAAAGAGGTCCCGTGAGAAAGTTAAAAAACTATAGTAACTTATACAGCTTAATACACATACTATTTAAGTAAAATTATTTTGACCTCTAGCAAAGTGTGAGTACGACGCATCATTTGTCAATTTTGATTCAGTATTTCCAAACATAATAAATAGGCAGGTACATACCTCGATATATATTAAACAGGAATAACAAATATCACGTGGACAATGTCTCAAGCATCAGCTAGTTATAAAATAAAATACTTTTACAACAGACGTGGACTGTGGCAAACTTCCTCCATTACCATACGGCTCGACGGAGTTGTTGAACAGCTCCACCCACCTCGGCAGCATCATACAGTACTCCTGTACTACTAACTACCGTCTCGTGGGTCCTGTGAGGAGAATCTGCACAGAAGATCATCAGTGGAGCGACACTTCGCCTAGATGCGAAGGTATATATAATGAATTAGCATTTAGGTATGGCTTCGCATAGGTAGCATAGCATTTCTGATAATAATATATAACCTATGTTATTCACCGATAATGTAGCTTTCTACAGAATATTTAAAGTAATAATTTATAAAGTCGGTTAAGTAGTTTTTGAATTTATCCATTACAAACAAACAATCGATTAAATCTTTTCTCTTTAAGACATAGATTATTTAAAATTTTACCACAATAATTTACGGGAAATATTTAAAAAATAATTTATATATTATTAAACAATATAAATATAATATAAAATGAGAAGAAAGATTCTTGAGTGGCAACCCCGTATGGGCAAACGCAGTGTACTTACGTGTATTTATGTATATTTTTTTAGAAATTCGCTGCCCCGATCCTGTGGTACCCGAAAACAGTATCGTATCCGTGACAGGCAACGACAGGATGCATGGACGCACACTCATTCGCACCTCAGTGAGCACCAACTCGGGAAACACTTACCGCATTGGCGCTATTGTGAAGTACAGGTGTGAGAGAGGGTACAAGGTAGTTGGAGAGAGTCTATCCAACTGCGAAGATAACGGCCAATGGAGCGGAGTCACGCCACGGTGTCAATGTAAGTTTTGACAGTATGTAAGTTACCAATAAGCAAATGGGTATCAATTGACGGAAAACCTTTCTTTTCCTATTCCAATAATGAAGTACCGCGTTCGTGATTTTCTGTTCATTCCAAAGGCTGATTAGTAGAGAATGCTACTAGCATTAAGTCCGCCTTTTGTACTTTATTTTATTTTCGTCAAAGTTATTTAAATTAATAAATAAATAATAATCAACAGCGTACATATAGGGGTAAGTAATTGTTAATAATGGGGTCTAGAAGTCCCATTACTAGCAATATACTCTATAAGATTGATCTTCGCGAAGTTTCGCCTTGAAACTATCGTAGTTAATTCTTTTTTAAATTCGTTAGTATGGGCCAACTGACTTTCTTTCATCCCCATCTATCATCTTTCACTGGTGTCCCGCCTATGTATATAGGAGTGGTAAGCAATCCATATGCATCGTAGAACGTACCACAACTCCTTACATGTCCAGGATAAAGGAACTTGGCATAATAACAATCCAAGAAAATATTATATAACTCCAAATAAAACACTATTACAAGATTACCATGATTTTGAACTAGGTTTTTTAATTTACTTCTAAAAGAGAGGATTTTCAAGATTCTCTTTGGTGCAGATAGGTTAGAATCACCAATTCGGCTTCAGTTTAAATTAATCTCTTTGTAATAAATTAATCTCGTCGTGTTGTTCACGTTTTTCTTATATGTTAGTCTCATTTTAATTTTGTCACGATTGAAGATCTTAATTGAATCTTAAAACGCGAGTTACATGAACATGACGATAATCCCACTTCGTTGGTATATTATAGACGTAGACTGCGGGAACCCAGGCCGCATTGAAAATGGTAAGGTGACACTAGCGACCAACGCGACATATTACGGAGCCACAGCCCTATATGAATGCGAAGAACATTGGCAGCTAAACGGCGTGTCCAGGCGCTTGTGCCAGGATAACGGCACCTGGAGTTCTGAAGCCCCAGTATGTAATGGTTAGTACAATTCTTTTCATAAATTGTCTCGTGAGGTAAGAAATAAATCTACCTTATTCACTGTTTTTACACTAATTAAAATGGTACGGAAACTATCAACTCAACTGATGGTAAATAAATTTTTCTATAAATATCACAGAATAAAATGTAAAACTTATGGACCTCTAATGCATTGGAATTTCTAAAGACTGTATTATAATCTGTATTGTGATTACATAGAAAAATTGCTATCATATAATTACGTACGTATCATGTATGTATGTATATATATATATATATATATATATATATATATATATATATATATATATATATATATATATATATATACATATATATATATATATATATATATATATATATATATATATATATATATATGCAGACTTGCATATCTTTGTTTCGTCACATCAGCCGTCAACTTCTAAGCCTAGAAGTTTTGCCAATAGTTACCGTGCTATGCAGGCGGTTTGGCAACCTATACTATATACCTATACTGCCCATCCCTCAAATTCTCTTAGTCACCTTACTATACTCTCGGGAAAGGAAGGGATGGTCCTCTCTATGCCGGGATCATATGGCATTTTTTTATTTAATGAGAGAGAACTGCTTGACGATTAAAATATTAATCATATACATATGTACTACTTTGTACAAAGTTTCTCTTTACATTAAAGAAATAAGTTTTCCTATGTGGTACTAATATGGTTTACGAGATAATTCTGTTTCTTCTACGAATAAGTCAATTTCCAACACATTCGTAATGATATTTTTCTTTTCAGAAATAACGTGTGTGGATCCGTCAATCCAGATTAAGGGCAGCACAGGGCTTGTGGTGGTGACGTCAACCCTCAGCATAGGTGGTGAGGCCCACTACCGCTGCGATCGAGGGTACAGTCTCAAGGGGAACCAGACGAGGACCTGCTTGCCACGCGGCCAATGGAACGGGGCACCGCCTGTGTGCATTCGTAAGTAATTTCTAATGTTTAAATCATTAGATGTATCTACTGACATTATCCGTGTCATTTATAGTAAATAGCAATTTATGTGTAAAATCAGGATTATAATATATTGTTAATTAACATTAATTCACGCAGATAAAGTCGGATGCAAACGCTGCGATATATTAATCCTAATGTTATCTAAAAGAAACTAGCCATATATATTTATACATAAAACCAGCTTTAAAATTGATAATATTCATTCTATTCGACTTAATAGGTAATATTTTGGTACAGTATACACCTGTCTAATCTGCCTAATAATATATAAATCTGCCATAATAAGGTTATCTCTATCCTGTGCTTGCGTGATTGCATCTTGGTTTGAAAGGTGAAAGGTGAAATTACAATTACAAGGTTCGTAATGTTAGCATAACATTTTAATCCTCTAGAAATACAAAGCAGGAGAAGACTTCACAGCATATTCTTTATTATTCATGGTACTGTTTTTGTTTAAACGCGACGATTAGTTACCATTGTCTATCAGATGGGCAATCTAATATTGCTTCCCATTTCGATCAGAATACAAAAAGAGGTTACGTTATTCGATAATCATAGACAATAAAATATTTTTTTTTTGTGTATACCAACTATATTTGTTTGTCCGCAGCTATTGACTGCAAGTCGCCAGGACAGATCGAAAACGGCCGCATTATAATATCGAACAGTTCTACTCTCTTTGGAAGTTCCATTGAGTATCACTGTTTACCCCAGTACCAGAGGGTGGGGCCTTTCCTTCGCAAATGTCTGGACGATGGCAGATGGTCTGGTGAGGAACCAACTTGCGAGTTGGCCACCAATGAAGCAGCTGAAAGTGGAACCTTGCCGCTTAGCGTTGGAGTCGGCTGTGGAGTGGTTCTCTTCTTACTATTGCTACTTGGCATTATTTATTTAAGGCTGTAAGTACCACAATGAAACCTTTTTTAAACGAATAGTTTACCTATAAAACGATATAGTTTTCTCAAATAAAAGTAACTGTATTTTCCAAAAAAAAAACTTCACAGTTTTATTCTCATCTATCATCTCCCTTTAGCCTTTTGCCCTCCAGCGTATACTGATAGTGCAGACGGGGTTACCATTAAATTATCATCCATAATAAATATAACCGACAAATACCTTTGACTATATTTTTTTACAAGTGACGCGCTTTATTTTTATACAGATTATAGTTAGTATGGATTTAATATTATAATATAATTTCAGCCGGAAAGCCACACCAGTTAAGAATACAGAGAACATCGAAGGCGCCGAACGTAAAGAGGACGCGAACGCTGCGGTGATGAGCTACGCGACCCTCCACGACACGAACGGCCGCCATATTTACGACCACGTCACCGACAACGTATACGACTCGCCGTATAGCGAAAGGATAGCCGACAACGTCGAGTACGGTCGAAGGAGTGACACAGATTCAGCGTACGAGCCCGAGCCAACAGGACCTAATGCTGTGGTCACAATAAACGGTGTGGCTGTGCGTTGACCGAGAGACAGATTAAGGTGGCATTAGACTGAAAGAACAAAGAATATAAGAGAACAAAACAAAATATAGAGAAGAACAAGAACTTTAAAATTTGTGAGTCATATAGCTCGAACAACGAATAAATGCTCTTAAAATACATATTGCAAGAAACTTATAGAATAGTAATATACTATGGTTACTGGTTGGAACAATACTCGCTCACTTAGTCTAACTCCACCTTTGTGCATTGAACAAAACTTTGAGCCGTTCTGCTCAAACGATATTCCTGTTATTATATATTCTAATTGTATACATAGGTAACCAAATGTGGTGGTATCAAAGACAATCCAATTTTATCTTGTGTCATAAAGACTTTTAATTGTTAGGTTCCTGTGAATTGAGTCAACATTGCACTCGTTACGAAATTACTCACAGTGGTTACCATTTTGTCTAAACTCGAATGTTCAAACTAACAAATAGAATTAAGTGTAGATAATTTTTTCAATTGGTCACACGTTTAATGAATGCAACGATACTGATGCGTTCCACATCACCAACACTTACTAGGTATTGAACCAAAGATGTAAATGAGTTGGATTTGTACGATTTAAGTATGTATTAGTTAGTTAGTATTTAATAATTATGGTGTACTCAGACAAGGGATATATTATTCGCGGCGGACTTTGCACGAATCTGTCAGAAATTCATTACAGATATGAAATATATATATAAAATAAAAACATTACAATATTGATAGTCAAAAGTATATCGAGAATTATCCCTTGTCTGTACACACCCTTAAAAGGATTGTAATTCTTTGCGTTATTTATTTTTTTATTGCATTACGTTTAATTGCGGACCAAGGAAAGCAATCTATAAGGATACATCGTCGATAGCCAAAGAATTACAGTCTTATTCATTTACTTTTAATTCATAATAAAGATACCCGTATGTTCTGAATTGAAAGTAAAAGTTAAAATTTAAGGAAAAATATATACAATTATATTTATTTTGTTATAAATATATTAACGCATAATATAGAAATTGATGCCAAAATAATTACGCTGTCACTTTCTGTGCTTAAAATATATGCTATGTTGTTCCTTTTTTTTATTATTTCTAATGGCACTAATATTTACACATTAGCTATTTCATATATATTTATTCCTTTTTCAATACTTACTTTTTAAACCTTTATTTCTTTCATTATTATTTAATTACTTTTAAGTATCTTTCTTTCTCTTTTTAGATAATCACCTAGACTATCGAATGAATTTAATGTTTAGTTTCAAAGAAAATATTTGTCTAGCTATACAAAATATTGTTAATATTACAATTTCGATGTTTCGATAATGAAAGGATTGGAATGATAAATAGTTTTCCCCGAGTTTGTGGGCAGAAACATAATAAATTTTTATACATTGCAATTGGTATGTGTAATATTATACGTATTTTTATTTTAAAAATGTATAAATACTTATACTGAGAAAAATTAAAAGCATAGGTTGATATAATAGATTATACTGCGGTCCCGATCTTAAAAATTAAAGGCATAATAATATAGAATAATGAAGAGTCATAAATGACATAATAATATCTTAATAATAAAAATTATATTTGCATTTCCATGAAAATAATTACTTAACTATACATAATAAAAACAAAAAAGTATAATTAATACAAAATTAATGGTGATAATTATATATTTATTATAAATATACTGAATGTGTTCAGTTTGTGCTTTGTTTTGTAAATATAAATTAGAAATTTAGTTAATAACTTGTATTTTATGCCAGGAGACACTGCCAAAATTTTTATTTGATTTAATTAAAATATTCAATACTTTAAATATATACTTAAAATATTTTACAAAGTGTAACAGACAATGACACGATAATTAGAAATGCAATATTCAAATTTATGAAACTCAATGACTAAAAATAAAATTAAGTGTACAGAGATCCACGATTAGCTAAACTGTGTTCATATTTAAAAAAATATTATTCAGTTTTATTAACACCTGCTGCATGTTTGGAATTTGAATTCTTCAGTTTATCCTTTACGTTTGTCTAAAGGGTCTAATAATCTTTATTCATTTACCTAAAACCAAGTGTACGTAGTATTTATTTCAAATTATAAAAGTTTAAAATAGCTCTGATATTACAAGTTAATGTATTTTCGTATGTGCCTTAACGTTTATTATTTTTACTATTTAGGTTAGGTAATAAGTACTTCTTTTATAGCTCTATGCTTTTATATTTCATAAAAACTATATAAGTTTTATATGTAAATAGTTAGTTCGTAGTTTCATCTCCAAATGTTGCGAAGATTAAGAAAATATAAATGTTCAATCTAGAACAACGTATATATGGTCATATTATTATTATTTTGTTATATTTTGTATGTACAATAATTAAACTTATACTTATCACTTTCGTTAAATAAATGTCATAAATGTGACGGAAATTTTTATTTTTGCCCAAAAATTCTAATAAATCTGAGAACGGCTGAGCAAAGACATTTTTAATGGGATAAAAATGGAATAGCGAGCCCGCCTACGCTATTAGTGTATCTACGCTGACGAGACTCTGTTATGAAATGATAAATGAGGATGAAACTGATCTGAATAGGTATACTGCCAGCAATGAAAATACTTATCCCCATTATCTCTTTCATCCTCCTACAAACAAAATATATATTTTTAATGGGTAAATATGGAATAGTATGCTCGCCTACGCTATTAGTGTATCTACGCTGACGAGACTCTGTTATGAAATGATAAATGAGGATGAAACTGACCTGACAAGTTATACTGCCAGCAATGGAAATACTTATCCCCATTATCCCTTTCATCCTCCTACAAACAAAATATATATTTTTAACGGGTAAATATGGAATAGTAAGCTCGCCTACGCTATTAGTGTACCTACGCTGACGAGACTCTGTTATGAGATGATAAATGAGGATGAAACTGATCTGACAAGGTATACTGCTAGCAATGTGAATACTTGTCATCGTTATCTCTCTTACCCTCCTCCGAACAAAATATATATTTTAATGGGTGAAAACGAAATGGTAACCACGGCTACGTTATCGGTATATGCTGGCGTAGCGCCAATGGAAAATAAATGGTGAGGATGGAAACAGGTCAATTGGCCCACCGTAAGGAATTCAATAAAAATTTACTCGATAATTTTCAGAGTTCCCTCTGAAAGCAATGAGACTTATAAACTTCATTATTAATAATTCTTTTCCCTCGAACGAATATACTGAACCAATTGTTTTTTAAGGTAGAGAAAAAAACAAACCAATTTAGGGGCGCAGCGAACCATTTTAGTCCCCAAATGATCAGATATGATAATTTGTTAGATAAACGAATAGATATTTAAGAAAAAAATGATATCTAAGATTTTACTAACTTCATTTATTGTATAAAATTGACATAAGACATCAAGAGAGACAATAATATAACACAAGTAGAGTTATGGGTACACTCACTTCACAATGTACCTATTTGTATAAACATATTTACACAATTTCAATAGTGTATTTATTATCTATTATTATATATTTTAACATGATCCTACAGCATTTTCACATTACCACGTTTGCACTGCAAACTACAGGCTTCAAGTCTAATAACTAGAAAAGACGCAGTCTTCGATTGAATAGTAGGGTACAAGAATATAATTAATATATGTGAAATGACAATACACAGTTTATAATGCACTGTTTCATATTAATTTAAATAAGAAATAATTAAGATTATGTTCCACAATAAAAACCAACTTCAATTCTCACAAAACTAGTTATTTTTATTTAAAAACTAAACCGATTTTCATAAATTTATATGAGACCAACCTGAAAGTATATCCTTTTAGATAAAAAAGGAATTTTCCAAATAGATTTACAGCTGAAGCAGTTATGAGGTAATAAACATAGAAAAAATACAACCTTCTCCTTTTTGAAGAAGGATTAGCCCATTCTATGCCATCACACGGTAAGCTCCGAACATCTTTAAATTATAGAAAGTAGTTAAATATTACTCATTCATTTTATAATAATTTTATGTCCGTTAATTTGTACGTGTGGATTTTAGAAGTAGAAAAATACAACGAAATAAGTCGCCTCTAGATGACGTGTCATGATTAAAAATAAACCACATTTTAAGTTAAACCTTCAGAGACATAAGTATGAAAACAGACAAAAATTTTAAAATATTGTTCTGATTTCCATTGCTCTTATTTATTAGGACACTTGTATTAATTTTCCTTAAAGATCTGCCATGTAAGTTATAATAAATATAACACATAGTTATATGTAAACGACAATTATATACAGTACAAATTGCTAAAGAAATATTAGTCACCAAGTCTTACATCTGAGTTACCGTTTCATTAAATATGTAGATAGAGACGACTCTACTAGAATAGAGAACACTCGTACTATAAATTTGTTTTGTAATCGTTTACAATATAAACTTACAATAAACACAATAACACACTTGAATGAAAATTTATTGTCATTTTACACAATTACATGAACAATTATCGTTTACAATATAATGCAATATTTATAAAATATGAATCGAACATAAAATTTCGACAAAATGAGTTTCGTAATACACTTCTGTGTTAATGGATACTTCAGTAACAGTAATATTATAATGTCCAATGCAATTTATTAAAATTATTAACGAAAATTGAATATCCATTTCATCCTAAATTATATCCATTCCATTAATATATTATTATATAATAGTATATATTAGAATTACATAATTATTGTTTTAGTACAGTAGTTGACCTACTGATCACAAATTTATTACTCAATTAAATAGTTTTAAACGTACCTTTAATTAATATATACATAAAAAATACAATGTACAAATGTTAAGAAAAATATATATATACAGTGGTAAAAAAAAAATGTTTGTGGCTTAAATATACACAACATACTTTAAAGTTGACATATAATCACTTAAAACAGTACCAATATTTCTTTTTTCATTATATCTAGTAAATATTATAATTTAAATAATCAAGTTAAGTGACGACTTATTATTTATGTACTAAATTCCTACTTTTGTGTTCTGTGTCAACATAATGTTATAAATATGTATGTAAATTCGATATATAGAGAAAAGATATATGCGAGTAAATAAAAATCGTCCAATAAAATATTTTGGTAAGGTCCGTACGACTGATCAACTACTTTTACAATAATAAGTTTTAATTATAATTAAATAATAAAAATTATCGTCTAATATATCACTTTATGACAATCTACAAAACATGAATTTATTACTCTCCCATTAATAATAAAAAAAGGAGTTTACATAAAATATTGAAGGCCCATATCAGTCACGAAGAATAAAAATAAGACCTCACTTGTTCGTATAATTACACTTATATAGTTCTAAAGTTACACATTATTTTACCTACCTAGTGATTCTATTGAATTATTGTATAGTATTGATAATTTTTTCACGATTAGGCCACAAAACGCAGTACATGATTTGTTATCAGAAACATTCGGAATTTTCATTGAAAATACAAACATTAAAGTTCTTATTCGAGAATAATATCTCCCTTATTATTATTAATCGATAAATAAACTAATATAAAGTACATATAATTATAAAATTATAAAATTACTACACATTCATATGTATCTAATTTAATTTGGTGTTTTAAGGGATATTTAAAATGCGCAAACGAAAGACTTGACTGCAACCATATAATTTACCTTTTTCTGTAAGCCGTAATAAATAATATATTTAAATGATAAAATAATGTATTTGCAAAAACGCATTGATTGTACCATGCAATTTTAGGAGTTTACACGCCTAAAATTTAATTAGAGAATCATCTCTTATTAGATATAAAAACATAAGAATGTTTCTAGAAAAATGCATTCCATTTGCAGTCCCTTTAATCACTTATTGTGGCAGTACTTATTCTATATATATATTATAAGTAAGCGGAGAGGTAGAATAAGTATATATATATATATATATATATATATATATATATATATATATATATATATATATATATATATCAAGATAGTCATATACAATCTACAGGCGCCAATACCTGGCGGCCGGCACTTGTGAAATTAGACTTTTACCTTTCCCCTTTCTCTCCTATAATAGAAGACTGCCAATATTTTAGGATTCCAATAAATTTTCTTTTTCATCACACCTGCTCGGCAAATAATTAATTCCTTTCATGAAAACAGGGAAGAAAATCTCTTTTAAAACAATGGTCAAAAAGTTATAGGTATAAAAATTCATTAATGATTTATTAATGAATATTTTATTTTAAAAGCTTATGTTAATTTTTAACGAAATCTGTATATATGGATAACGGAAATTTTATCAACTTACTATGTTTGTTGTTTCCGGCAATTATTTCGACTTCATCCGAGTCTTATTCAGAGGGCGTACTGCGCTTTGCGTCACAGCACCTCGTCTCGCATTGTATTAAAAGACTTCCTGATGAAGTTAAAACAATTATCGGAAACAATTAAGTTCACAAAATTTCCGTTATACATATGTTATATATAGACAATGACCTATTTTTTTAATTGTTTTAATTCCTAAGAAATTAAGTATATAAAATTCGGTTAGGCTCGGTTTTTCACCATATTTATTAATATGATTTGTATCCATAACAGTTTACAATCACATCCCAACGGTCCAAGGGAAACGGAAATAAATAGAAAATAAAAGAGACCATAAAAAAGGAAGAAAAGGTTAGATAAATACTTAAATAAAAACTGGGGTAAAAACAAAAAGAAACAAACATATAAATTAAAGAAGAAGTTTATTTTATTCAACTCTTACGTATCGAAATAAATAAAAACTTTAATGAACAAAATTTTAGGACCGCTATGTTAAGCAGACAACAAATTGTATACTTTACAAAATAGTTGACGAAGATCTTTCCACAGCTATGTAAAAATTATCGCCGCTTTAGAAACTGAGTAATAATATTTGATTAAAAGTATGTCACTTGCTAGTGTCATTTGAGATTATACATTTGTATAAGTTTCATAACAGAATCTACAGGACATAATTAAAGTAACACAAATATCTAGCACGTAAGGTAACAATACATTTACCCTAGCAGCAAACGAGGCACATGTAAGTCAACATTTTAATGTACGGTGTGCAAAATGCTGTGCATAACTATTTAGGAAATTATTGTGACTGTTGTAAGATTTCTAGGAAAGCCATATTAAGATTGCATTGCGAACACGGAGATAGAGAAATGCTGCAAACACCATCCATTTATGTGAACCCATACAAACTCATACCCACGTATGAGAGGCTACGGACTCACAACGCTCAGTGTTCAGAATGCTACCATTATTTCATAATCTTCTAAAATACTATTTATAAAGTTAATACAACTCAAAGGTACTAGACAAATATAACTAAAACTATTGGGGCATTTAAACTTGTAGTAAGGAACAAATCATGCGCACGCAGAGTCATTGGGTCAATTTGTAAAAGTGTGTAATAGGATTCCAGATTTATAAATTATAAATATATAATAATTATAAATAATAAAAGTCCATTCCTAGGCAAAAATATATTAAGTTTCGATTGAACGTAAATTTGATTAACCACCTAGTTTCTCCGTGATTTCGGCTCGTGTATAATTTAATATTTTTACTCCGCAACAGATATAGTGACTTTAATAATGACAAAAAAAAACATATAAAATAGACGAATAGAGAATCTCCTCCTTAAGTCGCATTTTAAATTAAAAACAACTAAACTCTCTTTTTTATATTGTGTTTTCGATGTTTCAGTCCCGTGCGAGTTTTTGATTTGATTTTTTATATTGCTATCAAAATATCGGTAGTTACAATAAATCCAAACTACGATTAAATGTTAATTATAGCCTGTAAATATTTTTCAATTACTTCACGGTCAGTTTAGTTATTTCCACATATAAGATAATGATTTACATTCATAAAATATCAAATTTCTAACAAACGTATAGTAGCTGTCGCAGCGTTTCATCCCTCTCAACAAAACACGAACGTTTACAAAACGTGTTGAGTTTATATGAATTATGAGTGATCAAGACAAGAAGCGTCAGCACATCGTAATTTTTAGATATATTAATATATATATATATATATATATATATATATATATATATATATATATATATATATATATATATATATATATATATATATATATATATATATGTATATATATAATTGCACTATGACCGATTCAAAAATACAGTAACCGATTTGATTTTCCAAATAGGCATTAAAATGAGAAAATTCCATTGATCTACATTTGAAAATACATATAGTAATTTGTCCTGCATGATACAAATCAAAATAAACTATTTTAAAACAATATAAAGGATTATATAACTAATAACCAAATATTTCAATCAATTTGCACAAAAAAAAAAAAAACAATTGCAGTGATACTCTTTTAATTTTAAAGTCAACACCGTTTGCCAATTTCAAGTAGGGGAAAATGTTTATGTCATATATAAGTGAAACATTATTCACAAAAAACGCATTACTCAGTAATGACGAATCAAAAAGTGGCCAAATAGCGTATGTGAATATGTCGTTGTGTGCGAGACACATAACACACAGAGCATTATCACATTTATGTTACCACAGTAAACATTAATCGCTATTATATAATTCTTTATATAGTCCAAATACATTATAATTCTTTTTAAATTATTTTATACATAATTGTTTTTCATCGTTATTGCATTTTTTTGTTGCGCAGCACATTTCTAATCGCTAATTTTATTTTATTTAAGTAAACAATATACTTAAACGGAATTATAATGACAAATTATAATTGGATAAAGCCTGACCAGAAATATAAAAAAAAATTTACTTCAATTTAATACATAATTGTAGTGTTACTTGTTTTTATATAATATTTTAATATTATTTTATAGGAGCTCAATGCACCATCATATGTATATGAGCAAATATTTTAGAGTCACCGTAGAAAGATTTTATATAATTTCAATTCCCAAAAGGAAGAGTTCTCAATACGTCTGGTGATTTTTTAAACAGATGGTTTTATTCCCATATTGGTCCCATATACATCAGACAATGGCATATTTTGCTCTGCAAGCGTTTTCTCTGCAGAACAAAATATTACTTGTATCAAAGCAAATATTTGTACAATTCTGTATTCTAATTTCAAATACTTTAAATCTAATTTATATAGTAGTTTTTAGGTTGGTTTTATTTGATTTTAAAATAAGAATTGAGAATAATAACAGTCAATTTTGTCACGATAAATGTTGCTGATGTTGTTGAACAAAATCGACTTGGTATTTATTTGATTTATCAAACTACGATCCTATATATTTAAAGTATAATATGCCCCATAAAATTGAGTATAGATTCATAAAATAAAGAAAAAAAAAGTTAATAATAAAAAAGTACTTCAGTACTTGAATGCTTTTCTACATACCGAAATCTGTCAATTTCATAAACAAATTTCAACAAATCATCAAGAAATGTTTTATAAGAAATTAACTTTTCAATTTGCTAAAGAACACTGTTTAAATAATCATACAGAAATATTGAAAATTGTTCAAATAGTTTTTACTACTGACCGATTCTTGCAAACGTAGCACATTTCGGAATATATGTTTTTAACTCTATAAAAAAAATAACAAAGATTATTTACCATACAAATCAACACATAACTGTCAAAATTACACGAAACCGTCAAAAATACTTTTAAGTTACCACAGTTTAAACAAAAACTTGTACATGCATGCTTGTTTTCCACTAGAATGTTATTAAAAAAATATGACTGTATTCTTTTTTTAATTTCTGGCCAGACTTTTTTTTTCACTATGACATAACTTTTTTTATTGTAGTCAATATAAAAAAGAAACATACATTAGGTAATATAATAGTTTAATACAATGATATAATATAATAAGGCTACAACAGTAGTCAATACATTCGACAATTCATATATTGTTTAATCGGTCAATAATAAAAAACACAATATGTGTGTTGTAAAAATCTTATACCATTCTATAACAAAATGGCCCCGGTATCAAGAAAGTATATATATATAAAAAAAAATATTTTCTAACAGAAAAGAGATAACTTAAGTTTATTGATTTCATAGTGACGTATAATCCATATCACATTTCCAATTCGTTCGCGCGTGTAGCTTAAAGAAAATCTATACATAACATATATATTAGTAATTCGAGATTATAACTACACAAAATGGCGGACGGCGAGCCCGGTACAAAGGTTCGGTATTAACTAGCCTACTTTACATTAACCATTTAGGAATACATCAAAATATCAACACAAAGGAAACGACGAGAACATAATATTTTTTTTTAAACACAATCGATATATTCTCATTATTTGGCAATACGAAAGAGTTCATCTCTAATGATCGTCGTCCATAAGTACAGTTGACGAGATAAATAAGTACGTAATACTTTATGTTAAACGAAGGCACGTTAAATGAAGAATCGGAATAACACCACTAACACTATGCTATAAATACAAATTTCATTTTAATATATAACACGTACAGCCAGGGCCATAGTCAACTTAACTTATCTAGGAGGCCGCCACGAAATTTATAAGTTTCCAGTGGCCTATGTGCCTGACTATACATCGAGAAATTGTAAAATAAATTGTCCTTAGTTGTATGCCGAGGATGTAGTTTTGCTAATGTAGAGCTTGTCATATCTGCATATTAATTGTTTATGGCGGTTTGTAATGTTGTTAGAGCTCTGCATTTTACTTTTCTGAGAGATTTTGGGTGAGGGCGGCGTTTCACTTGGACAGTTTGCTGATGACTCTAATCAGCGCACCGTTTTCATCCTTCAACCGCTGGTTCTCGGCTTGCAGTACTTGTTGGCACTGAAAATTATTGGAAAAAAGTTAGCGTACAATTAGACGTTATTTTTTTTATATCAACAAACAACTATAAGTTTGGAATATTGAAAAATCTATTAAAAATGGAAAAACCATAAAAAGGGACAAAATGGGATAAACACATATTTTATTGGAACATTTGAAATCACACTACCAACAAGCAATGGAAAAACGTTTTCACAATGTCCTACCCAAACATAACAAATCCCTTTATAGCCGACCATAAAGAAGGTATTTGTGCAGAAAAAATAATATATAAATGCGCATGCGCATTTTCCCGCCAATTGATATCAAGTACAAAATAAATCATTCCCGTATTTACCATAACGGAGTATCTATCAAGAACTGATAATAAATAAAATAAATTTGTTTAATATTATTTTTTCTCGATTATTTTGATTAATTGAAATTATTAGAAAAAAAAAAAGTAAACTTACTAAACGGAAATGAAACTAGTAAGACATTTTCTATTATACAGACACTTTAAGAATGCCATTTTCAAGTAAGTCCATGTCGATTGTAACATTTTTATACAATAAAAAAAGATTAGAAAGGATATGATAATGAAATTAAAGGATACAGATAAACAAAAGAGAAAAGGTACGATGGAAGATAGGGATCAATGGAAGAGTAAGGTCAACACTGCGACAAATTTTAATTGGACAAAGAGAAGATCAAATCTACTTCTCTTTGTCTACTTTAATCAAAACAAACTCAATGTTTTCAATATTTTTCATCACATAATTACATTTGTTTTTCCAAAGGTTGACTGGGAGAGAACACTCTATTGCATTAAATCTGCCTTTTATACTAAACTTTGTTTTTTATAATGTCGTCATTGAAGAATAAATAAATAAACCCAAGTACTCCCCCGCCTCCCCTCAGTATCTCATGATGTACATAAGCACAAATACCATTCTTAGTGTTGGCGCTATCTAATTTTAAACTGCAATTCTAACAAAAGCAATCACAATATGTACATATTGAGCAATGCGGTAGTGTTAGGTAAATCTCCAAGTAACTCCTATTTATGAAACTAATTGTCTACGTATTATGAACGTGTTACGGGCGGAGTGTGATTTGTGTTATTTTTAAATACATACTTAAACGATACTCTATAATATTGTTTAACAGATAAGTTTCCATAATACGAATTTAAAAAGAATAATTGAAGTTTTACTTATATTTAAAACTAAAAAATATATTAATATAGATAATTACATTTACATTAAAATACGTAACAGATGATGACCTATCTAGTCAATGAATACCAATATATAGTCTCTTTCAATAGAGTTCAATGAAAATTTAAACAAATTAATAATTAATTCGAGCAAGACAGTCTTCTGATGCCCAATGGCTTTTTTTTTTTTATACAACTTAGAATGGCAAACAAGCTGACAGTCCACCTGATGGAAAGTGGTAACCGTCGCCTATAGATGATGAGCAATACCATGGACATAACAGAGTATACTGTTTCGCCCATGATACCCCCCATGCGTTTCCATTCCCGAGGACTCAGGTGTTATTCCTCTGTACCCAGTAAATTCACGCCATATCCCACTCTTCAAACCGAAACACACACGGTTGAAACACGAATGGGACAAAGGTACCCAAGGAATCGACTTTTGTACAAAGTCTCCCTCTGGTCTCTCATCTACGAATAATACAAATAAAAAATCTATCAATTGACAGAATATCTCGATTTGTTACCAATTTTATTCATACAGTCTTTCTATGATAATTTCAACAAAACTTTGTTAAGTTTCCGTTGAACTCTATTGAAACAGGCTTTATTTGTGATATTCCTCTACATATATATATACACTTTACATTTTATTCTAAAAATATAAAACATTTTGTGACATTTAGTTTTCCCGTAGATGGTCGGTCAATTCATATATATTATAAAATAATAAACATTTACGTACATGGATAGCAAAACAGTATGCATTATGACTATATTCCTTTATAATTTATCTAATTTATTAAAGATCAATTGTGCTTATGCATAGCAATATCGCAGGCTTATATACAGTAGTACTTAAACATTTTATTTCTTTACTTTAATATAAATCGAAATGGTTGAATATTAATTTAATATAAATAATAGTACCTATAAAATAACAACCTACACTTCTGTGTTTGTATCGTGTACGACGGTATTCGAAGTGGCATCACGACAGCAGGTCACTATGTACTATAAAGACCGTCTTATGGCCAATAAATTATGTAATATGTGTATGTTATTATTTATTAATTTCAGATATACATGGACATTCATGCATCACACGGCAGCTCATACTTTGTCTATGTCGTGTCACTACCAGATACTTTTAAATTTTGTAATGAGATATTATATTATATAATGCAGCAAAAATAATACTCAATATTAGGTCACTTTTAAATACACAAACAAATAGGTTTGACTACAAAATATGATATGTATATAAGAAACATAATTTTAAGTCGTATAAAGTCAGTCAAGTAGCCTTAGCAAAATATAGATCTAACTGGCCAATAGTTTTAGTCACATACTAGTCTAAAAATAAGATTATATTGCCCAAGGAAACACGTTATTTCTTAACTAGGTTATGAAAACCTATTCTTGTATTAAATATTTCACTAAAATACGACTCGTTTTCTAATTAAATTATTTTTTTTTTAAATAGATAATTACAAAAGTTCAATTTTATTTAAATAATATCACAATTATAAATTAATACGCGAACTCTAATAATGTCACTTTTCTCCAAGATTCTCTGAATATTAATAAAATACATATTTGGAAACTTAACATTCAGTTTATTATATATAATAAATCACAATTTCTCAATTGGATATGTTTATTAATCTATAAATATCTGGTAACACACGACGATAATGTTCTGACTCATTCACAACTCGCTTCATTTTACGATCATCAAAAATATTGAAATTGGGCTAGTTCTCCTGCATATATATAATGGTGTTCGTTATTTACCTCTCGCACTTTATGTACAGGTGGATTTAGAGAAGTAAGAGAATATCGTTCTACCTCACCTCCTATTTTTGATTAATGTAATATTAAAAGTCACGTTGTCTATACGTGGAATGATAAATAAAATAAGTAGATATTGAATCTAATTTATTGATCAATCACAAGATACAACGAAAATTGGAGAAAACATTACCAATTTAACTAATTTTGGCCAAATTAGCATATTTTTGCCATTTAATCGAATACATGCATTGATAATTGTAACATCTTTTGAAATAGCTTAACATTTTATAGCTTCTGACATCCTAGACTTGGTTACATTGCTGACGACAATATCCTTGTCTCTCTTTAACCCATGTCTATCAAGTCAACTATCTTTAGTTCTATCATATCGTACTGGTTAATGTCCATCCATATTTTATGACAGATGGATCATTGCGATTATTTCCAATTGATGGAGGAAATAAATCATTCCATGTAAGAGCAGAATTCTTGAGAAGCTCAACTACGCTCTTCAGCATTTTTATTTATACTATTGTACTCTCTTTTGGTCATCTTATACAATAAAATCATTGTAATATGTACTGGGTCTTACGTTTTTCTATATTTTGGCTAGTTGGTCATCTAAATCCACCTTTCTTTATAAATGCAAGAGATGTAAAACTTATATTGATCCCATTGTATATTGCATATTGTTAATAGCGTAGAAGGGCCGTATGCAAGTTAGACACTTATAAAATCATGCTCGACATAGCACACAGTTAATGTTATTACATCGTTGCAGAGAGTCGCGACAAGTGGCTGTGTTTTATGTGCGTTTGCATTGGCGAGTGCAGTGACTGGAGTTAGAATGGGCTTACGTTTTTTTTTTTAAATAGTATATATTTATTTAATACATTTTCATCAGCCAGTACAGAATATTATCGGCTGCAAGATATGTTTTAACCGACATGGAGTTTTAATAATTTACTATTGTGACTTTAGAAAGAAACTTATTTCTATCTCGTAAAAAATATTATAAATAAAAAAGATAAAATGCGTAATATGCAGTGTTTACACCAATTTAAAAATATATTTATTATTGTTTACGTGTGCGTTTCACTATTTCTGACTTTTTTATTATCTCATAAATTAAAAAAAAAAAGTATTCTATTTATTTCAATGCTTATTATTTTATTTATTTGTAAATATTATTTATTATAAATTTATTAACATAACTATTATACAAAGCTCCAGTTTTAACTTAATTAATACTCTAATCAACTTATTGTATAAATTATTTTATATTCTCTACCATTACTTAGAAATTTTATTGTAATTATATTCATAAATTTATAGAATTCAGTCTAAAATAAGTCTTAGACGACTTATTTTTACCATTGATTCTAATTTTTTTTTTCATTTAAGTAACACCGTTTTTACATCTAAGATATATCTAAATACTATACCTATTTAAAGGTGTATATTTATGTATATAATACGATACGTCTGTACAATTGTTTATAAATAAATTCAAGTACCGCATTCGAGTTTATTACTTCCCTAAGGTTATATGAGAGAGAATGCTTTTAGCATTAATTCCGCCTTGTGCACGTTATATCTTTAAATAGTACAAAAGACGCTGCCCACGTGTGTCTATTTTTCGGTTTCCTTTTTCGAAATCAATGCAATGAATTTTGATACGTGTTTCACTATTATTTAGACTTTTTTTTAGGAATACACAAAAAGGTTTATATTTACAACTAGCTGTTTACTCGCTACTTCGTACGCGTGGTTTTGAGAAGTGGGAAAACTAATAAAATAAACGATTTGTAGATGACATATCATGATAAAATATACATCAGTTTTTAAACTAATACAACAGTAAACCGCATCCAATTTGGTATAGTAATTTTTCGTAATACTGGAAAAAACATAGAGACACAAACATAGGCCTCTCACATGTACAGACATTGTTTAGTTACAATTTTATTATATTAGTTAAATTTACGTCTGTGCGAAGCAGAGGCAGATCCCCAATATAGACTTAAGAATAAATAAATAAAAAACCAGAAAACGTATACCGATATTTTCGAAAATATAAGCGTCTCTACCTATACCTACTCTATATATGTATGGCACATACGTGCATAATGATACAAAAATACCTATTATTGTTTGAATACATAAACGACACAATAAATATTTTATCTATTTATTTAATCTTCTCTATTTAATAGAATTTATATTAACAAAATATTAACGCATCTTTACACACATTTTAACTCCAGTAGAAAACTTCCCTTAGTTGCTCCATGTATGGGCATGTAACCCCCCCCCTCCTATGGGAATAAATTAATGCACTCAACCAATAAAAACGCGACATGGCACTCAGGGATCAACTACCTGCTGATCGTTTCCATTCACTCGTGATATCTGACTTGTATAAAAAAAAATATATTTTCCTCAAGAAATACAAAGAAGGCTCAAGAAATACAAAGAAGCCAAGAAGCAGAACAGTTGTCTACATAATACATTTTAATAATAATAATAAAACAAATAGGCGTTAAGAAGAAGCTATTTAAACGTTAGTAAAAACCGTACAATTCTAATTGTGGTATTCAATGAACTACAATTATAATGAACGGACACTGAGTCATTTCTTTGCAAAATATAACACTTAAACACATTGTGTTAATGATGATATCTGTTCAGACGGGATGAGTGACAAAACGATCAGTAAATAGTGCCCGAGCACGCCGCACGGCGTCGCCACTGAGCCAACGCTCAATCAGTATGCAGATTTACCTATTTAGCGCCAGAGTTGGTCAATTTGCTGACGACCCGCGTTAGGGCACGATTCTCAGCTCTCAGCCTTTCGTTCTCGGCTTTTAACTTTTGCAATTGCTACAAAACGAACACCAACATTACATACAACTCATTGTTTAACCATGGCGGCGATTGTAGCGCCATCTCGAGGACCGCCATTTGCTTTATTTCAAACATAAGCTAATCCCTTTAAGGCTATTCTAAATTTTATATTATCTAGTATCAACTATTGTAAATATACATTGTGTTGTGTGGAGGTAAACAGTGTTTGTAGCAAGTGGTTATTATTAATGGATTAGTGGGCATGTTTACCTTTAATTCTTCCTCCATTTCCGACAGCTTCCTCTCCATGGCTCTCTTTTCTCGTTTTTCGATTTCAGATAACGAATTCTGGTTCTAGAAAGAAGAAAAAGAATGTCAATAACGCACTTTGATCCTATAATCAATATAAAAGTGATAAAAGGTTTATAATCCTATAATGTCCAAAAAAATCGTCAAGTCTTTGGATCCTACGCGCATCATTGCAACGATCAGAGCTCAGTTTCACCGCATATACCTCACAATATACCTGGCGTAACGATATATCTATCCATATAAATTTTGGACCCAAGGTCGGCAGAGTATTGTAATATCATGAGAATGATATATTTCATTATTACGGTGTCTCTCCAAATTCAGAGACAATTAAAATAAAATCATAAATAACCTCACCTACGCATTACATATGTGTAAAGTCGAACATTAATATGATAACATCGGTCACACCCGAAATAGGGTGTCCATGATTAATTTATATTGAGAGAATTTTTGATTATAAATTATGGTAAACGAAATCAGTATGGCCAAGACTTTGTCAGGTATACAACTAAAAGACATACAGCTCAATTCGCATGACAGGCAACAAATTAGCAAAATCATACACGACGTAAGTACACAAACATAATTTGAAGGTCGGTACAACTCGCGCCAATCTGTCACCAGCCCAAGATAATTAGTGTTCACAGTGGGCGCGCGTTACTCAAATGTTTAAATAGGGAAATTTGCAATTGCGTCGGTAAGCACTCGCTGAATCATTGTCACCGTAGTTCATGTCAATATTTGTAACCATTGCTTTAAACTTACAAAGTCATTGTAAAATAAGAATTCAAGCCAGCTTTTTGTCCTGCACTAGCTTTATGCCCGCTATTTCGTACGTATGGATTTCACTTCCAGATAACGTTTCAAAGTAAAACATACACCAGGTTTTATGTTACACTTTCAAAAACACAACTGTGATCACATTCAATTTGGTACAGTAGTTTTTGCGTGATAACAAAACAAACGTACAGACAAAATATCTAAAAATTAGAAATTTTATTGTTACAATTTTATTAGTAAGAAGATACGCAAGCAAATACAAGACCTCATAAAGTTTAATTTCTTAACAAATAATATATAAGAAATTCGCATGCGCAATGTAAAAGCAAACCATCTCAACAATGAATTTAAATTCATTTTATAGTAAAATATTCGCTAGCGCAATAAAATTAAATATGTTTATTTATGATTCTAATAACTCTATTATTTCATACACCTATAGTTTTTTTTTTTATTTTTTTATTATCAAACTTATATTATAATCTAAAGATTAGATTTTTTTCTATTTTTTTCAGATTTTTCTTTTCGATTTTGCTCTACCCGTACGAAGACGGGATGGATCTCTAGTTAAAATAATAAATAGATATTAAAATATTTTAAAGGCAGAATAAATAGACATAATTTTATCCTTTTCCTTAAACTGCACACTTAAACACTGTACTACTAGCTGACAATGCCCGTCTAAATCCTGAGTTTGCTGGAAGAAAACTTACGGTTTTAAATTGTTATACATTTTTCTACCACTATGTATACATAAGGCCTTTTTTTTACCATAGTCACCCTACTCTATGTCATACAATTTTAGCCTTAGGATATAATAGAAAAACAAATGTATGCAATTACATCCTACTATTATTATAAATGTGAAAATTTGTAAAGATATGTTTGTTGCTCAATGACGCTTAAACGGCTGAACAAATTCGAATGAAATTTAATACACGAGTAGGTTACATTCTTACTTAACACATAGGATTCTTTATATACCGACACACGCGTGTAAAACTGCGGGAAACAGCCGATAAACAATATTTTGTGTGCTCAAATTAACCAACCTATTCATTATTGGCATTGAATGTACTAACACTCCGCCAAGGACGCCCACGACCATGCTAGTTGCAGACGAGTACTGAACTTGGCCTCATATATTAGAAAATATATTACGCGTGTGTCGCATGAAGTCTTTTTGTGACGTCTTTCGACCCACTTTTTCTTCAGAAAACTTATTCAAATTCTCTGATAGAGTATTTCCTTAAAAGGTAGTTTTTATTTATATTTCACCCTGTATATATGGTAGTTCGCACAGAAGTATTATTCAAATGTCTCAATTTTTTGGAGTATCGTTGTTCAAATCTTCTCATAACAGGACTTTCATATATGTATGTAAACGTAGCTTTTGAAGTTCTAACAGAGCCAAATTGATGGAGATCTTCCATCAGCGGATTTTCCGCAACAGAGATAATGGGCAAAATTCCTTGTTGTATTTTCCGGGAATTTCTGATAGAATAACGCAAAAAATGCCATGCAATTTTATATGGAAACTGGTTTTTGTAAGAGGCGACTAAGGGAACTTAATTGCCGAAGCATGGACAGCAGCTTCACTCTTAAAACTTACCAAAACTTAAATGCAGTTGCTAATCAGTCAGCCCAGCGTGGCAACTACTAGCAACATCCCCTCCCCCTCCCTGAGAGACCTATATTCAGTTAACGCCAGATATTATGATCTTCATGATGAGCAGTAGTAAGGTAAGCTAGCTAAAGTGACAGGCTCGAAGAACAAACAACCGACGAGAAAATCTAAAAGTGGTACAAGACGACCCTTCCACTATATGCAGCGTCAAATTTAAGTGTATCGCAGAGAGTCCATCAGTAAAGGTAAGCCAGAACCATTGTTTTATAGTTTTTGGGAAGTTATGGGAGTTTATGGGGAAAAGCTATGTTTAACATGTAGACAATAAACGGCCAGCTAATTCTCACCGTAAGAAAATCTATTTTAGTACTCGCGCTATGTACATATGGATCCTCTGCGCTGTCATGTTCCTATACCTAAGTTCTGACTGTGTTTAGATCAGTCAGATATGTATAGCAAAATCATAGTAGTGAATGAAGGTTGAAACTATGATAAATGATAAATAACTTACATTTATGTTTTATGTTTGTCACACGAAACCTATAAATCATTCGATTGTTCTAACGTGAAATTCATAAATTCAACATTTTATATACTTTGCCGCCAATTTTCTTCACTGACATTCATATTTATTTGAAGTAATTCGAAGAAAACGAACGTGACACGCGGCACTAAATTATTTATATATTGTGCATGGGAATCATGAAAGAGCAACATTCGTAAACAAGGATATTATTATGCCAGTAACATTTTTTTTTTTTATATTTTCTTCACTTTATATTACTCTTATCCTAAAAAGCTGTTATGGATCAAATTAAATTTTAACATTATATTTAGATTTGAATACATGGAAAGTTTTTAATACTCTACATAAAATCTCACCATATATCACCGTTTATAGGTAGAGGATAGTCGAGCTTTTATGTCGTTCCGACATAGAATAGGTCACCCTTTTCTTTCCCGTGGGTGTCATAAGAAGCGACTAAAGGAGGGCGAGAGATAAGCAGCAGCGTCCCTCTTAAAACATCTCCAAAACTTAACTGCGGTTGCCAAATTGCCTGCCAAGCATAGCAACTACTGACAAAACATCCCGAGGGGAAGGCTTATGATCAGCGGTAAGCAGTTAATGGCTGATATGATGATGATAGGTAGAGAGAAAATATAGCATACACAAGACAGTGTTATTACACAAGGATGTCAGACCATCAAATAGTTCTCCTTAGGCAAAAAGAGGGGGTTAAAAAAACTAATGTAAATCACAGACGGTCAGACAGACGAACAACTATAAGTATAGAGACCAGTGCCACTGTCTTTGTCTACCCCGAACGGACAAATGACCTAGCATGAAAATAGATTTTAGATTTACTTGACTCCGTCAAAAATTTACAGATTCCAAATCCTTTTTTATATAACACCACAGCAAACTACTAACATTTTATAGCTAAACTATTGAATCATTAAAACACTATCTCATAAGGATCTGCAGATAACATAAGTATCTATAATGGTAACAGTGTCTATATAACAGTAACTCTTAAAGTGCTAAGATCAATAAAAAACAATAAAATAAAAATACCTGCGTTTGCAATGAAGTAACGAAATAAAGCCATATCGTACGTACCACTTGTGTGAGCCTGGTTATAGTTGCACGAGCATCGCGCAACTGTTGCTCGGAGGTCGCCAACAGTGCCCTCAGGCGGCGTACCTCACTCGAGGACGCTTCGTACAAAGCTTTGTAGTCGCGTTCATCCCCTTCCTCCGTCCGTTCACTGCCAGACTGAAATAAAAAAAAAAAAAACAAGTGTTTTATTGAGGATTTAAATTGACTAACATTCCGTGGGGTACATTAGTGATGTGCTTGTTACGTCATATCGATTTTTAAACAAAATACAAATTTATCTGCGTGACAGCCTTATAACTTTAATTATAAGATTCATTCTTATAATAATAAAACCTATTACTATATTTGCTATTTGTTACGACAAATAAAAAGGTAAGGTTCTATTTATACCAAACAAATCAACTTCAATATTCACTATGAATTATGAAATTGTTAATTTAATCCTTGAAAATTGTTTAAGTTGATGTCTTGCCAATATTTTTTTCAGATGCATGGACTTGATTTTGTTTACATCATCATCTTCCTACCCTTATCCCAGTTATAATTTGAGGTCGGCATAATATGTTTTTCTCTTTCATTCTTCTCTATTCACAGTAATTTTCGCATTCACTCCCAATCTGGCCATATCATCATTCCCACAGTCTATCCATGTCGGGTGAGCATGGTATTGTTTACATATAGATACGGTATTAAAAATAATTGCTGTCGCTCTCATTCTCTTAAAGTATGGCAGGTTGTATATGAAGTAATATTTAATCGGTATTTCCTTTGAACTCACGTAATAATTAAAAAAAATAGTACATTTACTAATTAACTAACTAATTGTTTCTCATTAACTGCTTTTCATTTTACTAATTATTATATACAGTTGATTATAAAAATAAATAAGTTATCATTATAATATAAATGTTAATAAACAAAAAAATCTTTTTCAGAGGGCGTATAAAAAGTATGTAACCAAGGTAAAGGACGAAGGATAACTGTGGTACATAATCGTACTAAACTGTACATGGGCATTACTATAATACTGTATACATAGAACAATAAAGAACCTATTTATGTCATAGATGTGCCAAAAATGCTTGGTGAGAATAGAATAAATCACACTAAGAAACACCTCACACAATAAAAAAGAAACTATAGGGAGAAGTTATTATTTTCGATCTGTAGATTCGTAACAATCTATTCCCTTTCTATAAACAATGCAATTTTTAATGAATAACGTACACAATATCCATCTGAGGCCAGCGAGTTTAGACTAAGGGATCTTGCATTGAAACCACCCGCGGTCTCAAGTGAAGTAAGCGACCGCGACCGCTCCTTGTCCAAATTTTTGTTCGCGCGATACTTCCTCTCAGGTCTCACAGGCGGCACGTCCGGGAAAACCTCCACCTCCGCCGCCGGTTCTTGCACCTTCGCTGGCGGCACCGGCTTTGGTTTAAAGTTCTTTTGACTAGCCAGTAACTTTTTGTCCAACTTTTTTAATACTGGTGTCATCAAATTTAACGAACCTAATGTAGCACCACTCAGATACACGCCACCGTAACCCGAACTTGTCCCACCGTATATACCTAAATTTGAGGATGCCCTTCCGAAACCTGTGCTGTACGGATTATAATTCCTGTACGAGCTAGAACTATGACTATAACCACTGGAGTAATTGTTCGAGTACGGGCTGTATTGTCCGCTGTACATGGTGCCGAGCATGCTAGGAGATGAGCCATAGTGCGTGGTGAGGCTCCGCGGCCGCGAATTATACCTATCCTGCTTCCGACTCATTCTCGTTCACATATCACTGTCACGTTTCTATAATAGCGCGTCTAACGAACGCCGCGATACATGCAAACACACTGACTGTTTCCCGAGTTTTAATTCTAGTGAAAATATTGTCGGTGGCGCCTACGCACAACACGGGGCCTGTGCGAGCGAGACGCCGCGACGCACCGCAGCGGTCATACGAGAGGGCGATATCCACAAGAGCACGTGAGCCATCACCTGTAAAAACGTACAATGTGTACAGCATGAACACTTTTCCTTTAGCCGCTATCCCCTAGACTACACACTTCTATATACAACCACTCAATATTCCATCAGTCAACGGTTACCTTCAAAATTGGCAAGTGAACCGAAGGTCACCACTAATGAGTGAGTCCGCCCAAATAGTACAGGTACGCACGCCATGTTCTAAATTTATGCGAACGAGTCCATTACCATCATACGTTATAGCAAACATAAATAAAGATATGATATGAAGCAGCGGTAACGTATAGGGTAAATATCGTAGGCTGTCTTTATTTTATACATGTAACTACTACTAGATTTAATATATCTGTCTTCATCCCAGATTTCTTTCAAGACAATAATCTATCATTAAATATATCTTGTTTTGTTCATACATCACTAATCTATTAAATCCCAGTTCCGAAGAATTGACTTCTCCCTCTGGCTATCGGATAGTATTGATTCTTCTTCTATACATGATTTCTTTTTTTCGGTTGTCAATGCACATCGTTTCTGGACAATCTCTGTGTGTTCTCTTTCAAACAATATTCGATCAGATGGATAAATCATCATCATTTATTCTGATTTCTCCCTGAGACAATACATTCTGAGGGAAATTTTATTGAAACGACAGATAAAATTTGACGCGCTAAATCACAGAAGAGAGCTTTTTGTTTCCGTACTAAAAATACATTCTATTTTCAAGTTTACGCGGCACCAAGAGGCGCTGACCCAAATACTCGATGTTTGGTTCGCTTTAATATATTTAACTGGAATTTTGAACTGCACCGGCGATCGGTAAAGCGCCTAATGTTTCGTAAGGAAAGCGGCTGTTACGAAATACATTATTTCGACAGAGTTTCAGCATTCAGGAAATGATCGGGCGAGTCCAGAAGATAAACAGATCGTTAATAAAATTGTCTGAAACGTTGGTGGCGAAACGTTTTGTGCTCAGCCAATTCCGTCGCGCGTCATAATGGTGCGTCGACCTGCAGTCATTTTTCAAGATTTCGTCAGTTCTGACAATTTGCGTCGCGGTTGTCTCACGTAAACACTGATGTCTCGTTATTATACCGGTAGTTATTGATGCTATTTGGCTATGACGTCACACGGCCATGTGTGCAGTGGGACTAGGGCGGTCGTCATCGACGAATACATATGCTAAAAATAATAACGTTTCCACATTTAAATTATACTGGTGCCCCATTATTCATTTGAAAAGAAAAGAAATTATAATTTAAATGGAAATCTACTATCCCACGCTAAATATTGCGATGATCACAAAAGCTTTAATAAGGGCCTGCGCAGACAACGGACTCATTGGAACGTGCTTGGATCATTGGCTATCATAGTCCAGTTCATTTAGGCAGAACACATATTATGTGTTCTATAGGTACCTTGTTATTATATATATATATATATTAACAAGGTACCTATAGGTCGCTTTAATAGCTTTCTAACATCAAATTGGAGGATTATTATCAGGTAAACACATAATCGTAAATGAGGTTTGGTCACACAGGTTCCTATAGGTACTGATGTAAGTGGTTAACGGGTTATAGAATATTAATCAATATTTTATTGTAAATCAGTTTTAATTATTCTTCTTCTTTTATATCTGTAAGTTCTACAAAACCACACCAATCGTCTAATCCTCAAGCTCAGATACCTTGTATAAATGAGAAACCTGGCCACGAATATCTGGTAGCAAAACCACAAACTCTTGTGTTTGTTTCCTAAATTAGCTCGACCGAGAATCGAACTCGTGACCTCATTACACAAAGTGCTCAATCGCTGCGCTACGCAGGTCATCAAGTTTTAATTGAATAAGTTTATTCCTGTATGAATATGATAAACAAATACAGATATGATTCGTCAATACTGGTATTGGTATTGACGAAGATATAATATCGCGTATTGTACTGTTTAGTAATCCTGAGGGATAGAAACAGTTTTTCGTCTTCGTAAGCTAAAAAGACGAGACAGTTCTAGGATATTTCCACTTAATCACAGGGCCCTACAAAATATCCATATACCATCAATTGAAAAAAAGTCTGGCAATCAGCACATTGGTTAAACGTCCAATAGTGGCCGGTGTTGGTGCCAGAACTAGATCCATTTCGTCGTATCCCGGCCTTGCGCAGTTTCATAAGTAATGTGACTCTCGTCTGTCAGTGGTCGTCATTGAATCATTTCAGTTTCGACATACATAAAGACGTTGCGTGACATATTTGAAGTGTAAGTTAGTTACATGTTTTACATTTAATATTTATTTTGGCAAATGTTATTTTACCCTCTAACTGATTCATTCTTTCTTATCGGTATAAAAACTATCCTATCTTTCAAGCTAATAGAAACATTACATATTAACAAAATTTCATTATCTTGAACATATTTATACATCGTTTCATGAGATATTATGCATTAACGTCTTGAGATGTCTTAGTTTAATATATATATATATATATATATATATATATATATATATATATATATATATATATATATATTACAAAAATAAATAACATAAATTTAAATCTCCATGCAATATTAATTTTGTAAAAACTATCATTATTATATTATTTCAAAACGATTAAATACACCGATAAAGGGCAAAGATATTAGAATTTAGAAGACGAAATCGATAGATACCAAGTGTAATCAGCTCCATGTTAAGCAGTATTTGTTAGACACTCGAGCAGTGACAATAATATGAAACAACACAAGTTAACCATATCGTTTGTAAAAAAATATATTTGATATGATCAAAATTAGCGAAGTAATCTCGTAATATAGTCAAAAAAAAAAACGCAGGCGAATTAAAAATCTCCTCTTAATTCCCCTTTAAGCGATCTCTAAAAAAGTCGCTTAAAAACTAGTTAGGTCTTGCTTGTACCATTTTCTGATGAACAATTACAAATTATAGTGTATCGTTTTACTGAAATAATTTATATAATATAAAATAGAATACAGAATCGGAGGTAATATATTGGAACGTGACTAAAACAATATCAGTCAAATACAAAGTAAACCAATGGAAACAGTAAAACGGTATTGCCCTATTAATAATCAACAGCGAATACTTTACGTTTATTTATTTTTGCCACACTTCAAATAGTTGACCACACACAATGAATTCTGTACGTGTTGCAAAA